CTTCAGTTTCATGCAGCACTGCTTTGGGTCCCTGTTATGGCCTCTGTCCTTCATGCCCTGGGAGATTTTGACAAATGTTTTGGCATTTCGAAAACTGGAACGGAGTTCTGATAGCACGGATTCCTCTCCCCAAACAGCGATCAGATCCCGTACCTCCCGTTCAGTCCATGCTGGAGCTCTTTTGCGATTCTGGGACTCCATCATGGTCACCTGTGCTGATGAGCTCTGCATGGTCACCTGCAGCTTGCCACGCTGGCCAAACAGGAAATGAGATTCAAAAGTTCACGGTTCTTTTCCTGTCTACCTGGCCAGTGCATCTGAGTTGAGAGTGCTGTCCAGAGCGGTCACAATGGAGCACTCTGGGATAGCTCCCGGAGGCCAATACCATCGAATTGTGTCCACAGTACCCCAAATTCGAGCCGGCAAGGTCGATTTAAGCGCTAATCCACTTGTCAGGGGTGGAGTAAGGAAATCGATTTTAAGAGCCCTTTAAGTCGAAATAAAGGGCTTCATTGTGTGGATGGGTGCAGGTTTACATCGATTTAACGCTGCTAAATTCGACCTAAAGTCCTAATGTAGACCAGGGCTTAGTCCCCTGACTATAACCCAGAATGGGAAGAGACTGCTTCACTTTTCCCAGCACTCAAGGGGATGCTGTATATACACACTTCTTCCTCATTATCATCCTCCAGTGCTCATGTAAACATACTGGCTTCAAGGAAAAGCATCATATAGCGTGAGAGTTAGCAATATTGATTACTGGAAGGATGCCCCAGGGCAGCTGCCGTCCACTGGGGAGTCCTGCCAGCATGTGGAGGGCAGTGTGTGTAAACATGGGCACAGGAGGATGATATTGAGGAAGATGACCCTTGCCTTTAATGGATCCATTGGAATTTTGAGACTCCACATGTTTCCTTGGGCAGAACTGCTGCTCATAAAATGGTGTGATCAAACACAGGCCCCCACATGGAATGATTTTGGGGGACCTTGACAGAAGCTCATCTCCTCATGGAGTTTTTCTCCCCTCAGGCCCTCTCTGTGGGTATTGCTACTAGAGCTGGGGGTAGGAATAATGACACCGACCTTTTTTTATGTCTTATCGTATTGCAAACTCATATCTATTCTGCAGTTGACTAACATCCATAGATCTCTTGGACTACTCCTGCTAGTGTCTCTCTCATGTTGTAAATATAGGTTTGGAGTTATTTTTCCCTAGAGGTATTAATGGGCATTTCTTCAGGTTGAATTTCAGTGTACATGAAGGGTTAATTCTTCTAGCTGTTGCATCTATATTAATCTAACATTGTCATTTTCCTGTTGACTGAGCAGCAAAGAACATACACACTGACACTCCCCAGTAAAGACCAACTGGAGAAAGAGCAGAACTAGAAAAAACATAGCCAGGCTGTGTACTACAGGCAGACATTGTAGTGGTGTAAAGCTTCGGTGCTGTGCTGGGGTACAGGCCAGGTAAATGTTTTGTGTCTTGTTTTTATGCACAGTGATTCCTTGTCTGAATGTGGGGTACATGCAGGAGAGCTCTCTTTGGTGGTTCATAACAGAAGAAAGTTTTTCAGTCTAGAAGTCTTCTGATCACAGCATGGGCTGAAAATGAAGAGTTTGGCTGATAGACTACAAGGAGTTTTCTGTAGAGGCAGCTTTAAAGGCTGTTAGTATTGTAATATATTAACAAATATTTGGCTATTTGTGAGTCTGTGTTTTACTGTAATACTTGTAGAAGACAATGGTAAAGCTGCGTTGGAGGTTCAGTCTGCCTTTGTTTGTGCACAAGCTTGTTTAAATGGAGCTTATGCTCAAATAAATTGGTTAGTCTCTAAGGTGCCACAAGTACTCCTTTTCTTTTTGCGAATACAGACTAACACGGCTGTTACTCTGAAACCTTTACTGGAAGGTTTATCTAAACTTTTTAGGGAATTAGTCCACAAAGGAGCCATAAAACATCAAACAGGAGTGCCTAGGCTGAGATATCTGCAGGCTGGTCAATACAGTGACTTGTAAAACTTGGAAATCTACATAGATGGAAACAAAGAAGCTTTTTCTCTTCCTTTTAAGGAACTGAAGGTGTTTGAAAACTGTACCTCAGAGAAAGAAAAAGAATTACAGGTGTGGTTTATGTAAATGAGGGAGCTGTTTTGTTCATCATACTCAGTTACTGGAGATACAAGTATCAGAGTAATTATGTGTGAGACGCACTGGAGTCAACATGTAACTTGCATATTATATAGCTACTCTAAGTTAAAGTATATGTTAGTCAGGAAAAAAACACCCAGATCTTATAATTCTCTTTTTTTAATCTGCTAACCCATCTGGTGTATTGAAGCAATTTGCCCCATATCCCATAGAGATTGGGGGGTTAGGAGAGCACTATCTGGCTGAGTTTCAGTGCTGATAGGACAGGTAATGTTGGTTAGTTGGGGGAAGCAACTAGAAGCAATTATCCAAGCCCCCGTGATAACGAGAGAAAGACTATATAGCCTGGAGGTCAAAGCACTCCCCTAGGATAAGAAAGACCCAGCTTCAGATCCCTGCCAATTGACATTTATACAAAGTGGAACAGCCCCAAGAGGAGGGATTGAGAGAGCTCCCACTTTGGCAGCATATGAACCCAGGTCTCCTACATCCCACGTGAGTACCCAAATCACCAAGCTCTTGGCTATTTTGGGATGGGTTGCTTTCAGTATCTTTTTTTTTTAATGTAAAAGGTTGAAAGGTCTTGGGTTTTTCCCCCCAATGTGGAAAAGAATTTTTTTTTTGAAATCTTGGGATTTTTACCCAGCTCTATTTCGGAGTGGAGTTTAAGGTGTTAGTTTTGACCTATAAACTCCTAAATGGTTTGGGAACTGGTTACATGAGAGACCATCACAGCTGCTGCGATCAGTAAAGGTCTTTGAACTAAGCACCAAACTCCCTGCTCTAAAAGAGATGGGCCTGGCTGCAGGGGATTTTCTTTATAGAGTCCTCAACTCTGGAATTCAGTACCCCATTTGCTCTGTCACATCCTGATCTTGCTGATCTCCAGATCACACTGCAGGGCTCCTCTCTTTGGCTTCTGAGGAAGAGGTGAGCAGAGGCATGGTTTGTTGAGTTGAGTGTGATGGGTCTTATTCTGCAGCGTTATTTTGTTGGCAGAGTTGAGCTATGGTAAGGCATGTCTTTAAGTTTTTGATTTTAAACTACTATAAAAGTCCCTAGGGCTATGGGGATAGGTACATTTTAAAATGGAAAGAAATGACAAGTGTCTTCTTCTCTATATTCTTAAGAATCTTGGGGCAGGGAGAGGTTGTTTTTTTGTTCCTTTACATGGAATGATACTTTGTTTTACTCACCCGTGTTTGTTCAGCTAAAGAAAATGTGACAAATTTTCCTAAAAGTACAAAATTGTTCTGTGGAGCAGATTAAAGTCTGAACACTCCCTTTTCCACACAATTTAGACTAATTCTACGTAGTAATTTTACGTTTTGGACTTTTTAAACCCTGATTATGAGTGAAATGAGTCCAGGAATCAAAGGATCCATAGGAGTTAGCAGGGGTTCTCAAACAGGGGGGCACGAGGTTATTATGTGGGGGTCACGAGTACATGCCTCCCAGCTAGCTAGTAAGTCTTCTGTGAAAAGTGATATTAATAAAATACAAATATCACTTTAAAATTGTGTTAAATATAAAAAAATATGTTTTCAATTTATAAGGGGGTTCACACTCCAAGGCTTGCTGTGTGAAAGGGGTTGCCAGCACAAAAAGTTTGAGAACCATTGAGTTAGTAATAGGAAAGACACATTATATCAGGGATTCACAAACACTTTTTTTCCGGTGTGGACTGCCATCATCACACAAAGATCATCATGCAGCCTGCCTCCCCTCCCATTCACAACTGCCTCTGCATACCATCCCCTGTGGTCACTACAGGAATTGCTTACATGGCAAAGTAAAACTAGGCAAGTGTTTAATGTATATGGTTAGCTGCTAGTAATGCAATATAGCCACTGGGAGAAAGGAGAACCAGCATGATGTGACCAGCCAGCCCTGCATGCAGTGGACCACAGACCACAGTTAGAAAACCGCTGTATTAGCTCATTCGGTCCAATTCCTTGTGGGATTGTTCCCTTCTTCCATACACTTTCTAGTGCTTTGTCCAATCTAATTTTAAAAGCCCACAGTGACCAGGCTTCCACCACTCCACTCCACAGTTTACTAGATCTTGCTCTCTAAGCTTTCCTGCCATTCAGCCTTGCCATAAATGTATTCCACTTCCAATATTCTAGTCACAGAAGCCCAAAGAACATGGTTGGCTGCACTCATTCACCACAACAGTGGTGAGCTGTGCAGAGCTGCAACAGACTTCTATGCCATGATACGGGGGTGCCGAGTCACCCTGCACAGACTCTTCATTGCCTAGACCACCCCATGCACTGGAAACAGACCTGATGGCACTTTCTTTAAGAAGAAGAGTTTGCCCAGGTTTGCTCATCCAAAATGTCTTCTCCACTCTATAGTTCAGTGAGCTGTGTGCTGCTGCCACCCGCCACTGCATTTCAGTGATGATCTATGTACAGGCTGTGGCTCCACATCCTCCACTGTTGATGTTACAAGGTGCCCAAGGGGAGGACAGATCTGCATCTCTTGGTAGTTGCTGCTCTGCCACATCATCGCTCCTTAGGGTGGGGCTGGTGGCAGAATAGACCAGATGGGGGAAAACGTAGCAGAGCCACCATGTCTCACAGAAGGTTAATATCTGCAGGAATACAGAGCCCATGGATCCTGGCCTGTTTACGCGCCTTTGTAGGCTCAGCAGAACAGCGTCAGCAAAGTTCTTCTACATGCTGAAAAGTCACTGGCTGAGTCCCCAGATCCTCACTGCCCACTCATATCCAATTCACAGTGGGGGAGCAGTTGTTCCTCAGGCCATTAGTAAGGCATGAGGCTTTTTTGCATGAATCTGCATTGTTTAATTATAAATATTGTCAACAGGTCTCTGTGGAAACAGGAAAAGATGCTGAAATTTTGGTATTTTTTCCTCGTGTTATGTTTGCTCATCCAGCAGCTTGATGCTAACTCTGGGATCAAAGTCAGGATCACACAGAAAGGGCTGGACTATGGTAAGTCTGATACTTCCAATAGTTACCTTATTATATTGAGCCCTTAGTGCAAAGTATAAGAACACCCTGAGAATGAGTTGCTCACCGCTATAGAGAAAAGGAAGGTTTAAAGATTAAATGTAAGGAGGGAATGGCATGGTGGGAGGGAGAAGAAGAGTCCATAGATATGGCAGGGCAAGTGAAAGAGCAACTCCCAGATATGGAGGGAAGGGGGCAGCAGTAGAAATTCCCTAAACTTGAACTACATTGTGTAAACTTTCCAGTTATATTAGGGAACTGAAGAGGTCTCTGTACCCTTGCAGGCAAGAAGATCGGGCTGGAGATCCTGAAGCAAAGAATGAAAGAAGAAAGCTTCCCAGATTGGAGTGGCCGGGAGAAATCTGGAGTTGGTGATGTGGACTACACAATTTCAGGGTAAGCAAACTAGGAAAGGGTATTTTAAAACAATAGCATGAAATAGCTCTTTGCAATGTAGTGTCAGCACACTGCATTCTATCTAGGGTACTGTGCTTATGTGTTGTCATGGAGATAACACCATGTCATACACTGATTATAATTTAACGGGCAATGCACACATTTATGATTTGAGGCTGGAGGCAAATCCTTCAAGACTACCAGTGTCCATAACGCACTTTGGATTACTCTGGGGTACTTGCTACTGATTCAGAATATAGCTGTGAGTAAATTATCGTGCTACCAGCATGACTTGGGTAAGGGTCCTGATAGCCGATTGACACCTAAGATATAGGTACTGCAAACCAGTTTGACAGTTATAGGAAAGAAAGAAAAAGGTAAACATTATATTCTACTTATTGGTAGGAATCCTTGCAGGAAATGTCCATATTTTCAGATGAATAGGTTACGCTGTACCTGAAGTATGAGTCTAAGAGCCAGCAGGTATGTCACTGACCAGGTTCAAAGATCTCAAATGCAGAAGGCAAACTGAGTCTCAAACACTGAACACAAGTGATACAGAAATTATAGATTTGGAGTAATGAAAAGCACAAAATTAAAAATGTACAGGATCAAACTTTCAAAGGGGAGGGCAGAAGGTCTCAAGCAAATCTATGTATGTAACTGTTAGTCTGCCTTTGATTGCTCAGTTTACCTTAAATGCATGCATAAATCACAGACATGGATGCACAAAGGTTAGACAGACATCCAGCTGGTTGCTCACACAAACATTTACCTAATTTGCATGCACACTTGAGCTAACTGTATGTGAAAACACACTGGCAAATGCAAATGGGACATCACCCTTTGAAAATTTGGCCCATACAATCTCCAGAAAAACTACAAGATATCGCTAGAGATTAGTAATAGATGGAGCTGGGTGAATATTGCAAATGTTATCAGTGAACATTAATTCAAACGTTTTAAATGAATACACTTCAACGATGATCTTTGTGTTTGCTTCCCAGGACTAGTCAAGTGAATAAGCTGACTGGCAGGGATGTTCTCCCAACACAGCAATTTGTGAATAGATGTTGCAAGAATCGTCACATAAAGTGAATTTGATATTAATAATTTCAAATATTTACACCAGAATCTTGATTCTGAGAGATGAGACACATTCATAAAATCATAGAAATGTAGGGCTGGAAGGAACCTCAAGTGGTCACCCAGTCCAGCCCTCCGTAGCAAGGCAGGGCCAAGTAAACCTAGACCATCCCGGACATGTTTGTTTGACCTGTTATTAAAAACCTCCAGTGACTGGGACATTCATGGCATTCATCTTATTTGGAATAGAAAGAGGGGTAGAGTTCACTCCAGTGCTGGAGTGGGACATTTCTGCCATGGGGTGAGGCTTGGTCTTGCTTCTGAGAATTTCTCTCTCTCAGAAGCAGAGTTTGGCCCTGAATCAAGTTTAAACTTTGATTCAGATTCTTGTTTGCTTTTGAAATGCAAACTAATATCCTTATTTCTGATTTTATAGGGTAAGAATTAACACCATTGAATTCCCAGATGCTTCCGTATCCCTCATACCTGGGATTGGGATTAAACTATCAACTCAACATGCTTACGCAACCGTCAGCATGAACTGGAGAATCAGGACCTGGTTGTTGTAAGTATAGAACTGTGCATCCCAAGTATTTTCTAGTGGAAGAAAAATTTAAATGGAAAATACAAATTTTAGTTATCTAAGTCCAGGTACTTTTTATCAGTTAACATCATCAATTCGTTAGCATACACCATTCAGTCTAACAGAGCTCTCCATTGTAAGTCATTCCTTTCCAAGTAACACTGTGATGTTAATAGAGATCCCACCGCTAATGATGCGTCAGTGGCAAGTAAAAGATCAAAGATCTATTAGTGTGCTGGCATTGTCCAGCCTGCTAGCTAACTCAGTGTTTAGGAAGTTTATTGTACAGTGTGTCACACTCTATAATAATCAGGGCACTGTAATTAAAGTGCAGTTACAGTAAGTGAGCGTCTATGCTACACCTCCAAGGGTACAGCTACGCTGGAGCTGGAGGTGTAATTTCCAGTTTGAGTAGACATACCCGCACTAACCCTGATCAAACCAGTGTGCTAAAAATAGGTGTGTAGCGGCAGCTGCTCAGAAGGTGGGATGGGATAGCAGCCCCGAGTACAATTCCATCTCAGACCCTAGGTATGTACTGAGGACGGCTAGCGTGTCCTGCCGCACAAGCAGCTGCGACTACATGGCTATTTTAGCGTACGTCTACCCAAATTACACCTCCAGCTCCAGTGTAGACATGCCCCGAGAGGCACAGCATGGAATTCACAGCCTAGGGGAAGTGCAGACTATGGTGGCTTTAAGCTATCTTTACACCCTCCCACTCCTGGGCTTCTCTGGAGAGTCCCCCAGGACTGTCTACGTTATTGTTGACTAAGTAACACAGTGGGCGAACACTTTTTACAGAGCAATCACTCTATAGCTTACCTATCAGTCCATGTCCTCAAAGGAAACCTGCACAACACTTTCAAAAGATAAGCCTGGGAGCTTAAATTGATAACTTTGCTAGACACTGAAAATCATGGTCTGAACAGAGACACTGGATTTATGGCTTATTACGATCTGTAACCCACTGATCAACCTCCCTTCCCCCCAGCTTCGTTTCCTCCCTGTAACTGGAGGGGTGTTAACGGGCCACTTCCCCTTGAATAAAGAAAAGGAGTACTTGTGGCACCTTAGAGACTAACAAATTTATTTGAGCATAAGCTTTCGTGAGCTATAGCTCACTTCATCAGATGCATTCAGTAGAAAATACAGTGGGGAGATTTATATACACAGAGAATATGAAACAATGGGTGTTACCATACACACTGTAACGAGAGTGATCACTTAAGGTGAGCTTTGAAATGTGTTATGTACTTATGCTAAATAATCTGTTCCATGTTGTATTTAGCTGTGACATGATGAGTAAGTTCTCCCGCCATGCTATTTACATTCTTGAAATATTTAGATTGTAAGGGCAAGGATTGTCATTTCATTTTTACTTGTCTATAAAGTGCCATGCATACATATTGCATTGTATAAATAATATATAAATGTATAAATAATAACAAATACTTAATATAGACATTTAGTATGGTCATCATTTTTCTGATCTATATATTTTCAGATCCTGTACTCGTTCCTCCGAGGCCAGTCCTTCCAGTCCATTTTTGTTGCTCAACTTTCAATTCCCTAGTGTGTAGGATGACACCCCTTTGGACCCCAGACTAAGGGAAATTTACTGCATTCTATGAGAAAGTCATAATCACATTCACTCTCGAACCTAAGTAGCTCTTTCTATTGCAGTTCCATGGCTCTTTTGTGACAGTATTACAGCTTACAAAGATCATGGGAGAGTCACCATTTGGCATGGATCAGATGGACAGTCTCTGTGAAATTATGACATTAGGCAACCTTGACAAATCCAACATCATTCCAACATTCACACTTTCGAGATTAGTGTGTGGAACCTGATTCTTTACAGGAACTACTTCTACAATCTACTTTAATCAATAGAGATGGGCAAAACAATGGCATTTCCTCCTCAGTGAAAGAAACAGAGTCACTTTGTTCCATTAGATTCTTGGATGTTCCCCGTAAGTAGATTTTTCAACTGAGTTTGTTTTTGTCTGTGCAGCAAAGACAGTGGAAGAGCTACAGTGGCCATTTCAGGAGTATTTATTACAGCAGTCTTTACCATGTCACAAGATAGCACAGGTCACCCATCAATGTCACTGGATAGCTGCCAGATGAGTATTAGGGGTGTGGAAATCAAGCTGAATGGAACAATCAGGTATGTGCAAGAGATTTTATACACTCTAGTGGAAAGTAACAAAGTCAGTGGTGCAAGACCCACTTGTCAAAATTAGTAACCCAGATACATTTTTAGGAGTCTATCTGATAGTGTGGACACCAAAATTCAGAATGCAGGCCCTAATCCAGGTCCCCAAGTTTGAAAATTAATCTTCTCAGGCCAGATTTTCAGAACATGATCTCATTTTGCAAGTACACAACATGTGCCATTTGTGTACACAAAAAAAGATAGAATTTAAATACACAAACTGTAATTTCCACAAACAAATTGAGTGTAAATGAATTTAGTGCCTGTGAAGTTTATCACTAGTGTCTGTTGGTGATAACACAGCAAAAATTGTATTCATAGGTTTCTTGTACATGCAGAATTGCCCATGTACAATTGGAGGCCAACTTGAAAATGTAGCCCAGAATTTGAATGAAGTTCACCCCAAGAATTAAACTAAATGTGTCATTGAGAAGGGAACGTACATTGGTGGTACAGCTTCAGCCATTTGGTTTGTGCTGGAGCCCTTTTTAGATAGTGAGAGAGAAAGCATGGATGAGTGGGCTGTTCCACATGCTATTTCAACACTAACATTCATTGTTTTCTAGATAATATTCTAATCCTCAACCTCTCTAGGTGAGAATGAGAAGGCGTGTCCTATATCTGAGGCCAGCGGTGTTACTGGGGGCAGGGGGATTGTAGGGGCTATAGCGACCCCAAAATTTGCCTTAGCCTCCCCCGCCATACCCACCTCTCCCAGTACAAAGGTCAAACATTACCCAGATACTTCTCCACTGCTGCTGATGGTCCCACTGCCTTCAGAGCTGGGCTGTTGGCCAGCAGCCACCACTCTCCGGCTACCCAGCTCTGAAGGCAGCACCTGCTGCCAGCAGCAGTGCAGAAGGAAGTCCAGGTTGGAGACCAAGGTGCCCGAGAGCAGCGCCAATCCTGTCCCTTCCCACCAGGGCGTGCCACCCTGGGCAGGTGGGGGGTCCGGGGCTCCCTGCAGTCGTCCAGATTGACCAGCTCCAGCCCAGGCTCCTGGGCTGTGCCCCATACGGTCGCTACTCCCTGATGGCTCTATCAGCCCAGAGCAGGTCCCCCTGCCCAGGCAGCTCTTACCAGCTGTGAGCAGTCAAAGCGCAGTGGGGAGCTGAGGAACAGCCCGGGCTCCAAGGAGCAGCAGCAGGAAGAGGAGAGAGGCGTGCCACAGCTGCACACACTATAGCCCCAGCCAGAGCAGTATCTACCCCACACAGCCAAGCTTCAGCTTCCGGCCTTTGACCTGGCAAGAGGGCATGGCTTAGGGAAGGAGGCAGGGCCGGCACTTAACTGAAGAGCAGGGACAGGGCTGGTGCCGCCCCTGTCTGAGGCTGATGAGCAGGCCTTCATGCAGCTGCCCAGTCTAATTACTCCTAATCTTGATGGTGCTTTTCATTTCCATAGATCTTAGTGTGCCTAGCACTGAAATGATCTCCATTCAAAAGGTGGCCTTCTGGCAGTTTTCAGATTAGACAGGTCCAATATACACTGGGCTTTTATCCTCATACAGGTTATGTTGTGATACTGGGGCCTACAAATAAATTAATACAACACTTATGAGATTAGTTGTCTGCTAGGATATTAGATTTCACACAGGTCCAGTTTACACATGTAAGTATATTAGGATGTATGACACACAGAAACTATAGTGTTCAACTAACTGAAGCAATGGCTTTTCTCTTCTTTTTCTTTTCTCCAGCTGGCTCTATAAATTCTTTACTAAATACTTGGAGAAGCCCATTCACAGCAGCTTGGATATACATGTAAGTCTTTATAAATTGTTTAAAGGGAGAAACTTAAGGAATACATGAAACTGCATCATCTCAGAGGCAACATTCTTGAACTTGATTAAGGAATAATCTGATAACTAGAAAAAATACAACCTGATTCTGCACTGACCAGCAGGTTCAGTTTGCAGGCACCAACTTCCAAATAAACTCTTCAATTCCTGGCCATGGCAATAATCATAAACACCATAGGGTCAGATTCTCCCTCTGGCTGACTTGCACAAAGGGGCTGTAGCAGGGCCAGCAACTTAGTTCATGGAGCTATGATGATCAGTTATTTTTTACACTTATGCTCCTCATACTAAACACATCTGTGGCTATGTACATCGTGGTTGTCAGCTAAACTGCATGCATACATCATAAGGGATAAAACAGGAATTTGTGGACCTGCCACTAGAGAGTGAGATAATCACAGTTACTTGAGCAGATCTGACTTTCATCCACTAGAGAGGAAAGGATACAATATATACTAGCCAGTACGTAATCTCTCTGTATTTTTATACAGTCATGTCCAAACATCAGACAAGGGATCCAGCAGATTGATGCACAGCTCAGAACACTTCAGGGTGAGTCTCTGACGTTGCCTTTTCTTTACAATTCTCATCTTATGCTGTTCAGATTTTGTTGTTTTCTTGTCAGCTACTGTCACAGATCTCGGTTGAGCTCCCATTGCTGGGTACCCATCAGACAGCTGTGATGGGTCACTGGTTGGTTTAAACTTCCTTGGGTCTCAGCAATCTGTAGCACTGTTTTCTCCCTGGGCTTCTCTGGCACCTTTCTTGGGCACTGACTCTCAGCCTGCTACTGGCAATGGAGCCTCTTAGATACCCAGAACCAGCACTGATGCTCCAAGATACCTCAATAGTTTAAACACACCCTCTCCCAGAACTCCATCAAAAGGTGTGAGCCTGCTGGGTTATAGTTTATCCTTTCAGGAGGCAGATGGCAGTTGTGAAGCATAGAACACACAGAGAGACACCCTGCACATTGCTCTTTTATGTAACAGATAAAGCCCAAGAGAGTACAGATCATTTATAAAACAACAAACATCCTAAATGCTTTCCACTCGCTAGCTCTCCCTTCCCGCTCTCCCTTCCCTTGGGAATCCTTGGAGGCCCATCTGTGTTCAGGAAGGCAGGTTTCCACTTTTCTCATCAGCCTGCTACATGCAGCTCCTCCTCTCAGCTTGAGCTCATGAAAAATGGTCAGGGAGGACTCTGAATAGATTAGCTACTATATTTTATAACCTTCCAGTCCCTTTGTTAGGGGTCTCCTGGATCAGCCTCCCCAGCCAATCAGAGACCCCTGGCAGGTGACTGCATTGCCAAGTGACTTCTCTCCCGATAAACCAGTTCTCCTGTTTGGGCGTCAGTCTATTGTTTAAAGCTATTCCATTTCAATGAGCGTACTCCAGATGTAATGATCTTCTATCAGCCTTGTACCACTATGATGGAATTTCAATCCAATATGGAGCTAAACACACCATAGAGAAGGTCAAAGGGGCTGTACACTGAAATCAATGGGAGTTAAGCACCTGACCTGTTGCTTAGGTGCCTTAGGGTATGTCTACAGTACAAAATTATTTCGAAATTATTCTATTCAAATTTTCAGAAGCTATTGTATACATTCTGTCTTCTGTGTCCCCACTAAAGCGTGTGAATTCAGCAGATTGCGTCCACAGTTCCAAGGCTAGCATCGAATGTCGGAGCTGTGCACTGTGGGTAGCGTTCCCACAGTCCCCACCGCCCATTGGGATTCTGGGTTAAGCTCCCAGTGCATGATGGGACAAAAACATTCTCGCGGGTGTTTCTGGGTGTGTGTCGTCAGAAAGCTATGGCAGACAATCATTTTGCGCCTTTTTGGTGTGCAGACGCCATACTGCTTTCAGCAGATGGTGCACCGCTGCTCTCCTGCTACTATGAATCCACCTCTCCAACTCAACTGTGCTCGGCCATCGTGAACCGAGCAGCACAGCTTCCGCCGCCAACTCTGCTCTCCCGCTATTGCCACGCTTCCGAGCTTCTCCATGTTGTCTGTCCTGGGCTTCCACCTCCGTGAAAGAAGACAACAATTTTCAGCCGTTGTTCGGCTACGGTGAACCCAAAAGCACAGCTTCCGCTGCCACTCTGCTCTCCTACATTTTGCGCCCTTTTTCCAGGATTACCCATACAGGCACCATAGTCATGGAGCCCGATCAGATCTCTGCTGCAGTTTTGACCATAGTAAATACCTTGCGCATTATCCAGCAGTATGTGCAGTACCTGCAAAACCAGCCGAGAAAGCGACGACAGCACGATTACTATACTGATGAGAACATGGACATAGACGCTCCTAGAAGCACGGCATGTGGCGATTGGGAGATCATGGTGCTGTTGGGCCAGGTTCATGCTGTGGAACACCGATTCTGGGCCCAGGAAACAAGCACAGACTGGTGGGATTGCATAGTGTTGCAGGTATGGGATGATTCCCAGTGGCTGAGAAACCTCCATATGCGTATGGCCACTTTCATGGAACTTTGTGACTTGCTGTCCCCTGCCCTGAAGTTCAAAGACACCAAAATGAGAGCAGCCCTCAGAGTTGAGAAGCGAGTGACCATAGCCCTGTGGAAGCTTGCAATGCCCGACAGCTACCAGTCAGTCAGGAATCAGTTTGGAGTGGGGAAATCTACTGTGGGGGCTGCTGTGCTGCAAGTAGCCAACACAATCATTGACCAGCTGCTATCAAGGGTAGTGACTTTGGGAAATGTGCAGACCATTATGGATGGCTTTACTGCGCTGGGGTTCCCTAACTGCGGCGGGGCGATAGACAGAACGCATATCCCTATCTTGGCCCCGGAACACCAGGGTGGCCAATACATAAACCGCAAGGGGTACTTTTCCGTGGTGCTGCAAGCACTGGTGGATCACAAGGGACATTTCACCGACATCAACGTGGGATGGCCGGGAAAGGTGCATGACGCTCGCATCTTCAGGAACTCTGGTCTGTTTGAACAGCTGCAGGAAGGGACTTACTTCCCAAACCAGAAAATTACTGATGGGGATGTTGAAATGCCTATAGTTATCCTCGGGGACCCAGCCTACCACTTAATGCCATGGCTCATGAAGCCGTACACAGGCACCCTGGACAGTAGTAAGGACCAGTTCAACTATAGGCTGAGCAAGTGCAGAATGGTGGTAGAATGTGCCTTTGGATGTTTGAAAGCGCGCAGTTTACTGACTCGGTTAGATCTCAGCACAACCAATATTCCAATTGTAATTGCTGCTTGTTGTGTGCTCCACAATATCTGTGAGAGTAAGGGGGAGATGTTTATGGCGGGGTGGGAAGTTGAGGCAACTCACCTGGCAGCCAGTTTCGCACAGCCAGACAACAGGGCGATTAGAAGAACGCAGCAGGGTGTGCTGCACATCAGAGAAGCTTTGAAAGCCAATTTCATGACTGGCCAGGGTACGGTGTGGGAGTTGTGTTTGTTTCTCTTAAAGTTACCTGCCCCCTACATATATATATTAAAGGAAATAAAGTCACAATTGTTTAAAAACCGTTCTTTATTATTTATTATTTGTTGCACAAAACATTGAGAGAAATCAGAAGCTAGACTGGGGGGGGAGGGTTGGGTTAGGGGGGTGGAGGAGGAGGGAAGGACAAGTCCAGAAACCAAATCAAAATTTAGGATATGCCAGCTTTCTGCTGCTTGTGCAATCCTCTGGGGTTGACTGTGTGGGTCCCCGTAGCCTCCCCCGCCCCCATGTCCTTGAGCGTCTGGGTGAGGAGGCTATGGAACTTGGGGAGGAGGGAGAGCGGTTATTCAGGGGCTGCAGCGGCAGTCTGTGGTCTTGCTGCCTTTCCCACATTAGATCCACCATACAGCGAAGCATGTCAGTTTGCTCCCCCATGAGCTTGACCATAGCATCCTGCCTGCTCCCATCACATGCGTCCCTCCTCTCTTCGTGTTCATGTAACGCTTTACACGACTCTGCAATTGTTTGCCTCCATGCATTCAACTGGGCCCTATCAGTGCGGGAGAACTGCATGAGCTCGGCAAACGTGTCGTCCCGAGTTCATTTTTTCCGCCTTCTAAACTGGACCAGCCTCTGGGACGGAGTAGATAGGGGCCGCATTGAAACATTTGCACCTGCTGCACGAGGAGAAAAAGGGAGGGTAGTATTTTAAAAGATACATTTTAGAGAACAAAGGGGACACTGTTTCTCAGTGAAACAGGAAATTCATAGTACACAGCACATGTTCTTTCTGTACAAGGTCACATTTTGCCTTCTATACTGAAGTATCTGCCACTTTGGTGTGAGTAAGCCATCACTTGCGGCCAGGCAACAGACTTCAGCTTGCAGGCAGCCTGCGGGCTCTCTGGGATGATCGCTTCACTCAACACCCTTGCTCCCCCCCGCCCACACACACACACCGCGGGACTCCGATGAGGCTCTGAGCAGGGATGAGCCCTTTAAACTAAACGCGAACAGCCCAGCACAGCTGGGTTTCCCCCCACCCCTCACCGCGTGGCTCTGATCAAGCTCTCACTCACCAGAAGTGCCTTCTTCAGGGTCATGGTCCAGGAGCATGCTTTGGGAGTAGGGGGATGCTATTGGCTCCAGCGTTAAGAATAGTTCCTGGCTAGGGGGGAAAACAGATTCCCCACTTGCCGCCTGTGCACTGTCCTCCACCTCCTCCTCCTCCTCCTCCTCTTCGTCCTCCAAAAACTCATCCTCCTCGCTCCGTGCTACTCCCCCCTTGCAAGTGTCCATGGACAGTGGTGGGGTAGTAGTGTCATCACCCCACATAATTGCATGCAGCTCATGGTAGAAGCGGCATGTATGGGGCTGTGACCCAGAGCACCCGTTCACCTTCCTGATTTTTTGGTACACTTGCCTGAGCTCCTTGATTTTTGTACGACACTGCTCCGTGTCCCTGGAGTAGCCTCTTTCCGTCATGGTCCTGGAGACTTTAGCATATGTATTTGCGTTCCTTTTTTTGGAACGTAGTTCTGCCATAACAGATTCGTCTCCCCAACATGCAGTGAGATCCAGTACCTCCCATTCGGACCATGCTGAAGCTCATCTGCGAATCCGGGACTGCGTGGTCTCTTGAGATGGTGGACTCTGCATGGTCGCCTGTGATGGTTTACTGTGCTGATGGTCACCTGTGCTGATGGTGACCAAACAGGAAATTCAAAAGTTCCCGGGGCTTTTACTGCCTACCTGGCTAGTGTATTGGAGTTCAGAGTGTTGTCCAGAGCGGTCACAGGGAGCATTCTGGGATAGCTCCCGGAGGCCAATATCATCGAACTGCGTCCACAGTACCTGTAACCTGGAACTGCGATCTCGATTTTAGCACTACTCCACTTGCCGAGGTGGAGTACAGAAATTGGAGTAAAGAGTCCTTTAAATGGAAAAAACTGGTTTGGTCGTGTGGACGAAGCCAGTTTTATTTCAAGGAAACTCGGCTAATTCCAAAATAATCGCGTACTGTAGACCAGGCCTTAGAAAATCCCATTAGCCCCTATCTGCTTCTTTAGATGCCTACGTACCTTTGAAAATCTGGCCTTCATCTATAATGGCCTAAACCTGCAAGGTGCTGATTGCTTCCTGGGAGATGCTGTACGTCATCAATTATCCCTGAAGACTGGGAGAGTTGAGGGCACTCTGTATCTTGAAGGAGGTACCCAGCACTTCGCAGGGTTGAGCCCAAAAGGCGTAGTACTTACCTGTTCCTTGCCACAGTATTTTAAGGGTCCATTCTTCCCTCTCTGTAAGCACAGAACTTCAACTGAAATCAATTGCAAGTTACAGACCCATAGGATGCACTCAGAAGTGGTCAACAATGTCAAGAAATCATAGAATACCAGGGTTGGAAGGGACCTCAGGAGGTCATCTAGTCATTGTTGGTCAGTGGGGTTTCCAAAGAGAACACCTTGAGTTCTTAACCACAAACATTTGTTTTGATTTTTTCCTCCCTTCTTGTTTTGAGCATTTTCTCATCCAAGAACTGCATTCACTCTTAATTAAACATTACTGGCTGTGTTATACTTAATAGCTGTTTTGTTTTGTCTACCACCTTTACAGTCCCAACCCAGATCGATGCCTTTGCCCAAATAGACTACTCCCTAGTTCACTCTCCAGGAGTCTTCCAATCATACATTGATCTGGACTTAAAGGTAATTGACTTTAATGCTAGCTGTCTACAACTGTGCTCTTTTGATAGACTTCTTATCCTTTGTTAGATTGGCATGGTTATTACATTATTATTATTGTTTATATGTATTACCTTAGCACCTAGGAGCCCCAGTCATGGCCCAATACCCCGTTGCGCCAGGCACTGTACAAACACAGAACAAAAAGACAGTTCCTGCCCCAAAGAGATTACAATCCAAGACAAGAGACAACAGATGTTTGGTTTTGCTTCAACATTATGAGCTGAATCTGATGAGAGACTCCAAAGCAATGTCTCATTTGGTTTGTTTTTTCCAACAATTCTGTTGTAGAAACATGACATGGTTGTTAAATAAATTAACAGAACAGGTCATTTTGATTCTGTTGGTCAATTTCCCATAGCAAGTAGAGAGCAGTAAAAGAAGATTGAGCAGGTTAAAAGGAAAAAGAGAGAAAGGAAAAGAGGGAAAACACAGTGTGTAACCAACCCTAGGAGAAGAGAGGGAAGTAGATTTCTGGGGCCTGATTATCCTGCCCATTGATTTCAATGGGCGTTGTATGAATTAGAAGATCAGGACCCTGGAACGAGAGAGGGGGAGAGAGTGTCCATTTTAGGAGCCAAGATTAAACAACAAATCCAGGGAGTAGACAGAGAGAGAGAGCAAGCCAAGTCTGAAGAGCGCTGCTGAGGCTATGGCAACTCTACGAGGCTTTTAGTGACATGGCTGTGCCGCTACAGCCGTGCCGCTAAAAGGCACACAGTGGAGCTGCTTTCAGAGGAGCAGCCGTGTTAGTCTGTATTCGCAAAAAGAAAAGGAGTACTTGTGGCACCTTAGAGACTAACCAATTGATTTGAGCATGAGCTTTCGTGAGCTACAGCTCTCTTCATCGGATGCATCCTGTTTATCAGCAAGAGAGAGCTCTTCTGCTGACAAAAAACTTCCACCCCCCCATGAGCGGCAGCAGCTTTGTTGGCAGGAGAGCACTCCTGCTGGCAAAGCGCTGGTCACACCGGCGCTTTTCGTCAGTAAAACTTTTTGTCATTCGGTGGGTGTTTTATTTAACACCCCTGAACGACAAAGTTTTGCTGACAAAGTGCCAGTGTAGACAAAGCATAAGACTCAAGACCCTGGGAGATTCCTTCAACTAAGGGAAACATGAGGGAAACATGATGCATCCTGCTTAGGTGTGATTCTGAGTAGTAAGATTTTCTTGTCATGCTACGTGACATGTAAAAACAATTTAGTTTTACTACGTGGATACATAGTTTGGATTTTTGACATCCTGAGTATTTTCACTATTTAAAAAATCATTTTAAATTTTGTTTTGTTTTGTTTTGTAAAAAGATACAGAGGTTTTTCTTTTCTTTAAAGTATTCTAGTTTCAGAATATTCGGCACTTCAGAGCTTAAAACCTTTACTGTTTCTCCCCTGCTTAATGTTATAGTTAGTGCAATAGTTACTCCAAGTATATTTGGCTTTTCCTATATTACTTGTTCTTTCTACATCACCTGTGCTCCTTGGCCTGCACTGGCTACCAATTTGTTTCTGGGTGCATTTCAGGGTGTTGATTTTGACCTGTAAAACCCTGTATGGTTCAGGCTGTAGCAGCTTTGACCTAGTAGGTCAATGAGCACTAGAGAACTTTTAGTGCATGATAATAGGGTCCACACAGTCAATTAGTGTATGATAGGCTAGCATGCTTATAGATCTAGACCCCAGCTTGCCACTCACTAAGGGTATGTCTACACTACGAAATTAGATTGATTTTATAGAAGTCGATTTTTAGAAACCAATTTTATACAGTCGATTGCATATGTCCACACTAAGCGCATTAAGTTGGTGGAGTGTATCCTCACTACCGTGGCTAGCATCGACTTACAGAGCGGTGCACTGTGGGTAGCTATCCCACAGCTCCCACAGTCTCTGCTGCCCATTGGAATACTGGGTTAAGCTCCCAATGCCTGTTGGGGCAAAAACATTGTCATGGGTGGTTCTGGGTACATGTCATCAGGCCCCCATCCCTCCCTCCCTCCATGAAAGCAACGGCAGACAATCTTTTCGAGCCTTTTTTCCTGGGTTACCCGTGCAGACGCCATACCATGGCAAGCATGGAACCCGCTCAGCTCATCGTCACCATATGGCTCCTGGGCACTGCTGGCAGACGCAGTACTGCATTGCTACACAGCAGCACCTCCTTGCCTTCGCAGCAAATGGTGCAGTAGGACCGATAGCCATCATACGTCTCCTGGGTGCTCCTGGCAGACCTCAGTGAGGTCAATCAGGGGTGCCTCAACAGACATGGCTATTCTCCTCTTAGAGCACCGAAGGGGAGCCAGAGACTCCAGGTCATTCTCTTCTTTAAGTTTCATCTCATGGAGATTCAGTCCTGCCTGGAATATCATGTGAGCTGGAGGCTTCTGCCTCAGGCTGCTCTCCCAGCTGGCAGCACTGCACGGTCGCACCTACCCCAGCCTACCTCTTGCTCCCATGGCTCATGAAGCCTGGACAGTAGTAAGGAGCATTTCAACTATAGGCTGAGCAAGTGCAGAATGGTGGTAGAATGTGCCTTTGGACGTTTCAAAACTCACTGGTGCTGTTTGCTGACTAGGTCAGACCTGAGTGCAACCAACATTCCCATTGTTATTGCTGCTTGCTGTGTGCTCAAAAAGATCTGTGAGAGTAAGGGGAAGACATTTATGGCGGGGTGGAAGGTTAAGGCAAATTGCCTAGCGTCCGATTTTGAGCAGCCACACATGAGGGCGCTTAGAAGAGCACAGCAAGGCACACTGCACATCAAAGAGGCTTTGAAAACCAGTTTCATGATTGACCAGGCTTTGGTGTGACAGTTGTGTGTGTTTCTCCTTGATGCAAACCCACCCACTTTGTTGATTTTAATTCCCTGTAAGCCAACCACCCTCCCCCCTTCAAAATAAGTAGCTATTGTTTTGAAACCATGCATTCTTTCTTTATTAATTAAAAAAAAATGAGATAACAGACAAGGTAGCCCGGGTGGGGTGGGGGAGGAGGGAAGGACAAGGCCACATTGCTTATTGTAGCCACACTAAAAATCAAACTGTTTGAATGATAACCTTCTGTTGCTTGGGCCATCCTCTGGAGTGAAGTGGCTGGGTGCCTGGAGCCTCCCTCTCCCTCTCCCCCGCATTCTTGGGCATCTGGGTGAGGAGGCTACGGAACATGGGGACGTATAATCTAGACGGTTATACAGTGGATACAGCAGGGGTCTGTGCTCTTGTTGGCTTTCCTGCAGCTCCAACAGACACTTCATCATGTCTGTTTGCTCCCCCAACAGACGTTTCATCATGTCCGTTTGCTCCCCCATTAGCCTCAGCATCGTGTCCTGCCCCCGCTCATTGCGCTCACTTAATTCTTTCCTGGCCTCTGCCACTGAATGCCTCCATGCATTAAGCTGTGCCCTATCAGTGCGGGAGGACTGCATGAGCTTGGAAAACATGTCATTGCGAGTGCATTTTTTTCGCCTTCTAATCTGCGATAACCTCAGGGACAGAGATGATAGGGGGAGCGTAGAAACATTCTACGCTCTATGATTCGGGGGGACTGTATCGTCACCTGTGCTGTTGAGTGCTGCTGAGTTCGCCACACTGACCAAACAGGAAATTAAATTCAAAAGTTCCCAGGGCTTTTCCTGTATACCTAGCTAGTGCATCGGAGTTGAAAGTGCTGTCCAGAGCAGTCACAATGGAGCACTCTGGGATAGCTCCTGGAGGCCAATACCATCGATTTGCATCTGCACTACCCCAAATTCGACCCAGCAAGGTCGATTTTAGCGCTGTATCCTCATCGGGGAGGAGTACAGCAGTTGATTTTAAGAGCCCTTTAGGTTTATGGAACGGGCTTGGTTGTGTGGACGCAGTCATTTTTAAATCGACCTAACATGGCTAAATTCGACCCAATCCCGTAGTGTAGACCAGGCCTTTAGTCCCCTTCTGGACAAGCCCTTAGAGCAGGACTGGGGAACCTACGGGCTGGATCCAGCCCGCTGCTTCATTTCATCCAACCTGCGGCAAGTCTACGTGCCGCGGGCCGGAAGCCCCGAGCCTCAGCACCCCCATGCAGGGCTGGAGCCACGAGCGCTGGCTTGCCCCGCTACAGGGAGAAGCTAGGGTCGGCTCTAGCTCCCAGAAGAGCCTGGCATGTCCCTAAGGCCTCTAGGAGCAGGGGTGATCAGGGAAGCTCTGCGCACTGCCCCCAGCGCCAGCTCCGCACTCCCATTGGCTGAGGTAAGCACCGCCCAGCCGGAGCCCACACCCTGAACCCTCACCCAAGGTTGGAACCTCCTCCCACACCCTAACTCCCTCCCAGACCCAGACCCCCACCTGCATCCCAACCCCCTGCCCCAGCCCTGAGCCCTCTCCCACACCCCAGCTTCCCCCGGATCCTGCACCTTGAACCTCTTTCCCCACCCCAACCTTCGCCCCAGCCTTGAGCCTGCTCCCGCACTCGAAACCGCTTGGCCCCAGCCCGGAGCCCTCTCCTGAATCCCAAACCCCTTATCCCCAACCCCACCCCAGAGTCTGCACCACCAGCTGGAGCCTTCACCCCCTCCCGCACCCCAACCCCCTGCCCCAGCCTGGAGCCCCCTCCCATACCCACAACCCCTCATTTCTGGCCCCACCCCAGAGCCTGGGGGAAGCCCCGAGCCTCTGCCGCTCCTCCACCCCCCCCCATTGCAGGACTGTGTGCTGCCCACCATTGATTCTTTCTGTGGGTCAATGGCCCCTGATAGAAAAAAGGTTCGCCACCCCGCCTTAGAGATCACCTCTCTCCTTACACACCATCCTAGAATATGACATCACTGGATAGCTCTTGATGAGAGTTCTCAGATTTGAATTCCTGGGGATGGAGGCAAGGGTCAAGATTTTTAAAAAAAAATTTTTAAAAAAATCAATATTTAGGCACAGAATAAGTTGCCTCATTTTCTAGAGTGCTGATCCCTGAGTAGCCTCTGGCGTCTTAAGTGGATGCTTGGCATCTTTGAAAATCAGGCCAAGAGCATTCTCCGTGGAGGGCCCTGTAAGATCCACCATTGTAAATGCATTCAGAGTTTTTGACAGGCCCTGATTTTATAAATGACAATAATATTTTGCAGGGCACAATCTATCCAGTTGGAAATTGGACTGACCTTGCCTTTGTACAAGCTCCCTTCATTCTCCCAGACAAGAGTGATTCCATGCTTTACTTCGGCATCTCTGAGTATTTCTTCAAGTCTGCCTCACTGGCTTATTACACAGCAGGGGCCTTCAACATCACCATCATAGAAGAGGTGAGAGGCACTTGCAGATGAAGGGATTAAAAGTGTTCCAGGTATGGTCCTTCAGAGAAGGGGATTTTATATAAACTCATTTGCAGTGCAGTTACAGGCTCAGTGTTAACCAAGCCATGCAGTTATCAGAGTGTGATCATGATCTCTAATACTAATTCTTTATTTTGCCATTATGTAGTATCTAGATTTCTGAGGCCAAATTCAGAGGTGCCACTGAACAAGGTACAAAATAGGCACAATTCACCTTCAAAATGATAGGTCACAGATCTGAACCATGTGCTCCTCTGAAAAGGACAAGGAAATTCATGCTGGGGACTCTGCTGCCTTACTGGCAGCTTTCTGAGGGGCCTTTGCTGACTCACTACTAGGAGGGATCCCTGGAACTGAACTGGCTCTACCTGTGGGCTGAGCAGATGTCACAAAGCATAGTAGTTTTGCCTGTAGCTGGGAGGCCAAGCAGAGCTTTGAGACCTGTCTCCAGTGGATTCATATATCCCAGCAAACAGGTGGCTACGGGCCCAAATGTGAGCAGAATATTGCACCTGTATTTCTGCAGAAGGTTTTAATCTTTGTTTCTCCAATATGTGGGGGGGCTTCTTTTGGGCACGTTAGTGAGAATTTGACTCAGTGCTCTAGGACTCCCCCTAGGAATTTTCCCAAGGTTCAAAGGCACTAGGTCATTAAAATGACAATAAATGGCAGATTTAAAGAAAACCTAGACATGAAGCTCACACAGGATGGAATAATTTCTTTCATTTCTTTTGCAGCTTTCCAGTTATTTTAATGTAACAACAGAGACATTTGGCAGCATTGTTCCTGAGGTGGGTATCTTTAGTTCTGTGAACCCTTCAGAAACCACCCTAGCTAGTCCCAGTGTGGGTGTCATCTGAGTACTGGTTAACCTCCAATGGTTTGGTGGAGCCACTGTGTGTCACTGTGTTGGAGAAGGGGAAGACGCACAGTGGCAGGGAGGCAGGTCCAGGTCACGACTCTTGCCTCAAGTGAGTCCTAACTGGCCCCACGACATCTCTGCTAAGAACCCCTTTCTCCTGCCCAAATTTGCATGACTTGGGTCACCTGGCTGCTGACAGGTGAGAGATAGCGTGCATCAGCAGCTGAGGATGATGATAGCGGTGAAGAGCAAAGTGGCTGCATGTTGGGAAACAGAGCTGGCAGGTAGGCAGGAAGGAAGCCGGGGCTTTCTGCCTGTGTGAGGAAGGTGCCAACTTCTAACATTTGCATGTGGTCTACGGAAGGACAAGGGAGATGGTGGGGCCTCATTTAGTTTATGTGAGGAAGATGAATAGAGCAGGAGTGGAGAGGGCAGTGAGGATGCAGCTTGGGCTCCTGCTGGGCTGGAGAGACAAACTGAGGAACTGAAAATTAATATAAGAACTAGTGCCAAATGCTGAGCATGAGTCTAAACAATCTCAGCACTCTAGGGGTTAAATGTTCCTGTCTATTTCCAGGATGACAATAGTTTTTTTCCCATCATAAATGCAGTAGCCAAGCTCCTAAGCCAAAGTTACTTATAATCATATTTATCTGCAAAGCACCATGCACTCTACTGGTGATACGCTGGCTCCTCAGCCTCTTTGTTGGCTTGTTTGAGTGCCATGTTCATGTTTCCTTTGTCTCAGACATGTTCACAAACTAGAATTTAATCCTCTGGAAATTGCTCATCTGTTGAAGGGAATGGGTCTTCTGGTAATGGAGGGGACTTTCCTCCACATTCCTGATATGACAAAGATGATCAGGTCATCATCACAGGAGACATTCCTATTCCTGTTGCCGTAAGGACTCTACCATCTTGTTAACACCTTTTTTCTAAAGTTTGATCTTCAGGAACCCTCTCAAAATAACTATTTTAATGAATGATAAGTTTCACTATTCAGATTTGTTCTATATAAAGCTACTTTCAGACTCTCCTTCTTTGCCTTGAAACCCTACAGATTGCCCAGTATTATGTAGAGGCACGCCCCGCAATGTTGAACCTGAGGGCTACTGCTGCACCTGTGATCAGTTTACAGACAGACTCCTTTACTCTAGAGATCTGTGCCTCCATGGAGGTGCTTGCTGTCCTGCCAGACTCAACCACCCAGTCCATGTTTACAGTGAACATAGTAAGTACCATGGACCAGAGGATTACATTTCATCTATGAGTTAAAATAAGTTTGTTGTTCTGCACTGCCAGAAACCAGGGCATTTGAAGGTCCTAGAGGTCAGTACCTGCAACACATAGGGGAAAATTTTGCCCTTAAATAAGCAAATTCCATTAACTTCAGCCAGGTGTTGAACATGAAAGTTTGGGGGCACAATCTGGCCTGTAGGGTATTGCTATTGGGAGGTGAGTTTTCTTAAAGAGGAATAAAAACCCAGATATATTACTACTTCAGTTATCTTAAGCTTAGTTCTCTAGAATTCCCTATTATATAGCAATGGGTCATGTCCCCTGACATCTATTCATTACATTGAAAATGTCCATGATTAATGAAAATCTCAGTTGTCCATACTTTTAATATTGCCAGTAACATTGAGATAATCAAGGCTGAACTGTACACAAACCCCAAATTCGGCAGAAAGTAGCACTGTATGAGACAGCTTCAGTATTTATCAAAGAAGGTGGAACTGTTGCATTTTAAATGATACACGGAGACTATATTTGTGTTTGAATCTAAGAAAGGACCCCATTCTATATGGATACAGTAACTCAAGACTCTTCTCTCCTGCAGATAGCGAACGCCAGTGCCAGTCTGACTATATTTGAACAGAAGCTGATTGGCTCATTATGTCTGAACAGGTAAACACAGGACAGCTTGACCTGAGGCCATTCAGATGATCCCAGTATTAAAACACAACAGCCTTATTGTGTCAGCCTAGCTGTGGAGTTAGTCCAGCATAAGGAAAAGGCAGCCAATGCAATTTAACTTCTTTCTCACAAGGGTAGGGACCCTGAGATGCTTTTGGCTACACTGCCCAAATCCTGTGGATGAAAGACAACCATATTTTGGGATCATTGAATCTTCTTCTGTTGCTTCATTCTGTACTTTTCTGTAGAGGGCTTAGTAAAGGAAACTGTATTGGATTTATTAGTCTAAAATCTTTGACCGAGATTCTCTCCTATGCTTAGATCAACTCATCATCAGAGAAAGGCAGGGGCCATCAGGGAAGCTAATTATGATTCCCTGATTTGCTTGGTCATTCTGCACCAGTCCCAGCATAGGTTAGACCAGCCATGGGATTGCGCTAACTTATGCTAGCTGTCAACAGCCTCCCAGGGACTGTCTGCCAGCTGGAGCTAGCTGGTGCACATTGTGCCCCAGTCACACATGTTCCCCACTCCTGGCATGCCCCATCTGCCAGGACTGGATAGGAAGGTAGCACAGGAGCCTAGTATGATGATTCTGCATCATTGAGAGCTCCCCCACATGGTGGGGCAGGATCCTCAACTGGCCTGATCCAGCTGCTTTCCAGTCCTTTTGTGCAACCAGAGCAGGGCAAAGGGGCCAGAACACAGGAAAGAATTTGGGCTGGTCTATGTATATGCTACAGTGGTGATTCCAAGTGTTGGCATAATGACTCCCAGCTTGGTCAGAAAGCTGTCATCTGAGGTCATGACATTTCCTATAGAATTTAACTTTTCATTAAAAAAAATAGAATCCAGATTTTCAAATATGTGTATCTAAAAGCATGGGTGATGGTCAGCACCGCCCACTTGACAGGATCAGACTCTGAATGCCAAGCACCCAGTGGATTAGGTGGTAGGGTGATGGGAACCCGAGCTCACAAGAACCATGTCTAGGAAGACCGTAACAGGCAAGAAGAATTAGAGATGTCCAAACTCCAGAGACTCTCAGGAGGGAGTTCCTAAGGAGAGTAGTGGGGTGTCAGGAACCTAATGAGGAGGGTGATTAGGAAGTCCTCAGAATGGTTTACAGGGAGGAAGGTTGCAGTGGGTGAACCTCAGAAATCTTGCAAACTGAACTGAGCTTCTAACGTTTTTCAGCTAAGTCATCACCATCAGTAACATTCTCCAAGTGGAATTTCACCTCCTAGCTCCTGTAGCACATTTCTCTCAGTAGGATCTGAGAGACAGGGGATCTTTGGTGCTTGACCTGGTGCAGTTAAATGTATGAATCAGTGAGACGTACACAACTAAACATAGAGGAAGAAGTGCACTCACAATCCTGGATAAACTTCTCCGAGGCCACCCTTCTGTGTACATTCCAGGCAATGCCTTACAGAAACACTCCTGCTCTTTTCTGTGGAAGGTAGCATGTAGGATGCATTGCCATAAAGAAGTGTCTCGTCATGGGCATATCATAGGACCTGAAGTCACTGAGGGTGACTATACATGACTAAAACAATGTGCCTTCGTCCTTTATAATGACTCCTCTTTTACTACTTTCCTTTCAGATTCCAGCTCTTCCTGGCCGACTCCAGGGCTGGGTTCTTTGAGGTAAGTTGATGGTTTCAGTGTCTAGGAAACAAGAGCCAAGAATCTCAGGGAAAATGTCAGTCTGAAGAGTAAGGAGCAGAATTTCCCTACACATATTTCTATATCATTAGACTTCATCCTTGGGTGGTTCTTTTCTCTCTTTCTGGAACTCTGTCTGTCCTTTCTGCTGTATATATATTTATTGCAGTACTTCTTCTCAGCAACTCTTCAGTGCTCCTAAAAATGAGATGTTTTCCAATCTCTCTTCTTTGTGTATCATGTTTCATCAGAGAGGCACTAAAATCATGACCGCGAAGCGTACAACAGTAATCTGCAATGCAGCAGTAGAAGGAACAGCATGTTGTAGGTTAGAACATGCACCCTAGAATGGCAGCGAGGCAGTGGTGGTGTGCAGGGACAAAGCACAGATTCTCATAATTAAGGTAGGGAGTGGGAGCCAATACTAGACACAAATGCCTGAAACACATAATAGGGGAAAACCCTGCCTCCCAGAGAGAGCAGTTTCATCCTGAGGATAAGTGATCAGCTCGAGGAAGCTGAGCAGAGGAGAATTAAAATCTCCTAGATACTGCTGTACGGTTAAAGATAAATTATCTCGCAAGTAAATGAAACTGATTATTTTAAATGAAAATATTGCAAGCATGGTAACAAGATCCAGATCCTCGTGTTCTGTATCTTTTACATCATCCCCAAGCCTCAAGAACCAAAGGTCGTTGTCACTTGTGGTTTTGTCTACCCAAGTGAGGTCTGGTCATGTGAGCAGGACTTTTCTTCTTAAAACTCCATCCAGGATTTAGTATGGAGCAGCTTCATAGATATCAGGAAGTGGGCCCTAAATCCATTTTCTCCCCCATGGCAGGTCTCACTTCTGGAGAATTTCCTGTCTTACGTTTTACGGAATGGAGTAATCCCAGCAGCCAATGGTAAGGATAGTGGCTAGTTCCTTTAATGGCCCTGATCTCTGTTAACAAAATAACAGTTATATGGCTCCAGAAATTGGTAATGTGATATGGGGCTTTTCCCCATTAGGGACCATTTCACATCAACTCAGATGAGAAATGACAAGATGTCATTACAATCAGCTGGTAGCCTATGTGAAATGAGTTGGGGGTATTAGCCAATTTCTAGGAGACAAGTAAACACATTCTCAGACTATCACTACAACTGGCACTAACTTGAAGTTTCATCAGAGAAACCAAGGACTGACTGGGCATAGAAATTATATAGGGCACTGGACTGGCACTCAGGAGACCTGGATTCTATTCTTAGCTCTGCCACTGCCCTGCTGGGTGACCTTGGTTAAATCACTCCCCTCTCTTTGCCTCAGTTTCCCCATTTGTAAAATGAGGGTAGTGATATTGACTTCATTAGTAAAGTGCTTTGAGTGCTATGGATGAAAAATGCTATACAAGAGTGTTGTTATTGTTATGCTGAGAGATACAGGTGACTGCTTGGATCACAACCTCTTTTAGACTGGGTGTGAACGCACCCTTCAATTAATGTAACTCTCAGGATGAGTTAATCACAAACTCCTCACCTAAGACAAAAGAGGGTGGTGAACCTGGCCAGGAGTTTTCGAGTGGGTGAACGAGTTCTGCCCTCCCTCATATACACAAAATACTCTGCAAAACACAGAGGACAGACAGACAGAAGGAGCAGATGAAAACACAGTGCTTGACCCTAGAAGAAAGTTGGGAGGTGTTATGATCCTGTCTACAGTTTAGTATCCATTACAAGAGTTTTTTGGGTCAAAGGTGCAGGATTAAAAGAATGCTCTTGGTGCTGTGAGACAAAGAAGGTGGTTCCTGCTATTTCCTTCTGCATTCAGAGACACAGCACTTTGTACAGTCTTTGTAAATGAACAAAGAATACCTACCATGAATTTCTGCTCTCTACTGGAACATCCCCAGAATCCCAAACTTTGACTAGCTGCTTGGATTGAAAAGGAGCAATATTATTATTATCTCTAGAGGTGGTCTCTACAAGTAACAGATGAGGCACACTGGTGGAGCTCTATGGGAAAATTCATGTCACTGCCCTGTGTGCTAACATAGCCAGTCATTCTGAGTGAAAATAACCCCTATCCAGAGGACCAGCCCAAAGTCTATGCATCACTTTAGTCCCATTTAAGCCCGCAAAATAGGGGTGCATGGACCTCTTCACTAGGATGTATTTCACCCTTCTTGGACAGTGTAGACAAAGGAGAGGGGGTGTTGCTAGTGGTTGGAGCACAGGACTGTGTTCACAGTTCCTCTGCTAACTCTAGGTGACTTAGGATAGGACACTTAGGAGAGCTAATGTGCTGAGCACTTCCTGCAAAGTGCTGAGGCAATGGGAGCGCATTCAAAAAAGAACTAGATAAGTTCATGGAGGATAGGTCTATCAATAGCTATTAGCCAAGATGGGCAGGGATGGTGTCCCTAGCCTGTTTGCCAGAAGCTGGGAATGGGCGACGGGGCATGGATCACGTGATGATTACCTGTTCTGTTCATTCCCTCTGAAGCACCTGGCATTGGCCACTGTCGGAAGACAGGATACTCGGCTAGATGGACCTTTGGTCTGACCCAGTATGGCCATTCTTCTGTTCTTGACCTCTCTTTGCCCCTTTGTAAATGGGGATCATACCTACCACCCAGGGGTGTTGTGAGGATTAATTCATTCATGTTTGTAAACACCTTGAGATCCTTGGAAAGGTGCTATAGAAGTGTAAGTTATAATTTTTAAGTATTATATATATTTTGTTTGTCTTTTTTTAAGTTAAACTGAAGAAGGGATTCCCTCTTCCTAACCTGGACCAAATTACCCTCCTCAGACCTGTTGTTAAAGTTAATAAGGTGAGAAACTGGCTTTCGTCTTAAAAAGAGTTACTCCTCTTTTGCTAGATTGTCAGCATATTAAACAATAAAAATCCTTGGTATAAGATGAGAAATTTCATACCACAAAAGTTTCAAATTTTTCTTTCTTTGAGGGAAAAAATAAAACTGAGCCAAATGTGCGGATATTCAGTGGCCAGATGCACTCAGTGGGTCAAATTCAAATGTGCTGAAAGTAAGAACAACCCCTTGCAAGTCAAAGGAGTTACACACCTTTTTACACCTTGTCTAAATTTGCCCCACCAAGTTAAATTCAAGTTTCCATCTTCTTAGTGCAACCCCATTGAGTTCAATAGGGTTGCTCAAACATAAATGAAACAGAATTTGGCCTTCCTCGTGTAGTGTGAATAACTGGAGCTTTACATATATAATAATAGTAATAATGATAAAGATGCAGGGCATTTCCCGAGGATTAATGAGCTCCGATGGGTATGTGTCCCAGCTGGTCATAAATCTCTCAAATATACCCTGTGCCTCAATGGTTCTTTCTGATATAATAATCAAATGGAAAAACAGAGGGCTATATTCTACTACCATCGCTTGCTGCAGCCATATGTTGATGCAGCACGGGAACTTAGCCCTTAATTTGGATGCACAGGGCATTGCTAGAAACAGGAATCAATAATAAATTAATTGGTAGAAAATTAATGAGCCAATCAGATTGCTCCAATCATCTTCCAACTTTGCAGTCATTTTATAATCCAAACACTGTGCCCAGTTCTTTGGTTGGGGCTGAAGCACAACTCTAGAGAGGGAGTGCAAAGATAGTTTTAAGCCACTGTTGTGTTCCGTAGACCTGGGACAGCTTTGTGGCAGGCCAGTCCCCTGACAGAAGTTGCAACTACCTGAAGGCTGCTCTAACTTGCACCAGCTGCCAACAGCCCCAAGAGTGCCAATGCAGCAGCTAATGATAAGGTGTATGGAAGCCTCATTCACACCCTTTCCTCTCTAGTCACACTACACTAGTACCAAGAGTGGGGAGGTGGCACTGAAGCATCACTACACCATGTGTGTGTCAATGGAGGTTCCCTGTTAGCTGGAGTGATACTGTCATGGCTGGCTACATGAGCTTTAGGTGCAGCATCTGCTGGCCGTGCGGTGCAAAGCAGCAGACCCCTGAGGAGTTTATGGGTCTGTGTGTAGAAGTCTCTGTCCCTTTGTGAAGTTCTTGAGGTTGCTACTAGTAAGTCTCAGTTCTCTTCAGTAAAGATTCTCACCCTTAATCCCCAGGACAGAATTAAAACAGAAAATTCAGATGCTTAACTATCAATAATTTCAGGCACTTTTGTGAATGTTCTTCTCTCCTCAGGGTTATCTGCTGATTTCCACTGACATTGACTACAAACTCTAAGGAAGGAGAGCACATTTGGATGATCACGAAGTTCCCAACCAACAACATGACCCTGAAGGCTGAATACTGTCCCTTTGTTTTTAAACTTAAAAATTCTGCAAATGAGCAAAGTCTTCACTTCTGCTCTGATTTGGGCAAAAAGCCAAAAAGAAAGAGGGAATTGACCGCTGGAATATTTATAGCATGTATCCAGCAGAAAACCATGTAAAAACATATCACAGTGTGTGGTTTTGTGGTTAGGTAGGGGAAGCATTTGTTATTCAGGAGTTTGTAGGTGCTGCAAAAGTTACTGTTTTTAAAGGTTAAAGTCTCTCTGTTTAAGTAAAGCCTTTTCTATATACGGGAAGCTCAATATTCTTTAGGAAAAAGGATGTATGCCACCAAACTGCAAACACAGCTATCATCAGCAGCTGCTCTATTAATGGTCTTTGTTGTAGCATAAACGTCTTATTCTGCTTCCAATGGAATGCATCTGTTGTGTTTAATATGAAGTGGGAGCTATCAAAAAGTGCTTCAAGCTGAAAACTCTCTTGGTGCCTATGAGGACTTAAATCTTCTGAGTTCTTTGTGAAAGGATTTCCTCAGAGTTTGATCAGGGGGATGAACAAAGTGCCAGGGCTCTTCTTAGTGGTATTTCAGGACAGGGAGTACCCTGATGTCTTTCTAGTTATAATAAGTGGGTACCCAAGAAGCTCCAGAACTAAGAGCTGAAAAAGACCCACGAGTCTAGTTCACGCCCCGACAGTACAGAATTATTCTTTACACTTTCATTAGTACTGTATCCCTAAGTTTTAGATGTGCTAAGAAATGCAGCTACAACCACTTTTCTTGAAAAGAAAAGGAGTACTTGTGGCACCTTAGAGACTAACCAATTTATTTGAGCATAAGCTTTCGTGAGCTACAGCTCACTTCATCGGATGCATCCGATGAAGTGAGCTGTAGCTCACGAAAACTTATGCTCAAATAAATTGGTTAGTCTCTAAGGTGCCACAAGTACTCCTTTTCTTTTTGCGAATACAGGCTGCCACGGCTGTTACTCTGAAACCTGACACTTTTCTTGAGAAACTATTCCACAATCTCACTTTCCAGAAACCTTCAGGCAGAATTTTTTAATGATTCATTCAATTACTCCTAGTGATATCTACCTCCTCGTTCCACCTGGAAGAGTTCCTAGCTCCCCTTGGCAGTTTCACTCTTCAGCTTGCAGTGACAAAAAGGGGCTGTTGAAAGGGAAGGGGGAATAAAAACTTAAAATTAAAAAAAAAAGATTTTGAAAAATGAAACAAATGTTTTCATTTGATTTTGACCAATTTCCAAAAAAATCAGACTTGCCCTGCACACCCTATTTTCTAGCAGAGAAAAACAACAGCCACCGCCCTGTGTTTGACAAACCCCCATTTCTCAGCAGGAAATGTTTTGGGGGTGAAAACTTTCCTCCAGCTGTGATTCATTGGGGCGCCCTAGCCAGCAGCTGATGTATTGGTTGCATTATCAGTGTCTGCTGGGTAGCAAGGCAGACTGCAGGGTGCTGAGGGGAGAAGCGTGGCCCAGGGAGAGCGGTAGTCTCGGGGGCTCTCGCTTTTGATCGCGCTGCAGAGCTCGTGTGAGGGGCTGGGCAAGCTCTAGGGGACAGTAGGAGCTCGGTCCCTACCGACCAGCAAGGGGTGGCCCACACAAGCGAACTGCCCCTCTCTGGGGCTGAATCCCGGGAGATCCCACCCCAGTGCCCCCGGCCCCCACCTTCCCTGCAGGGACCCGGCGGCTGCGGAACCCCCTGCCACTGCGCTCTGCACGAGCTCTGTGAGGGGGCCGGGGGCGCGCGCGCGCCGGCTCCTCGCGCTGGGGTTGTGCCAGAACGCTCTCCTACCACGCGCCGCCCGTACACCACACCGCAGGGGGCGGGGCGACCCTCCTGACGGCTCAGCGCCCTGCTCGGCAGCTAGGGGGCGCCGCAGAGCACCGCAGGGCTGGCGTAATGTAACGCTCCAGACTGAACGGATGAAATCTGAGCCTCGGCGGGTCCCGTCCAACCTCCTCAGCTACTGCCCTCCCATTCGCTGGGTTTTCGCCTTCTGAGAGAGCCTGGGCCTCGGCGGCCTCCGTTGCATCCTGGCCGGTGGCGCCGTGTGGGAGTGGGAGCCGCTGGGTGCGTGTGTGACACGGAGTCTACAGGGCCGCCGCCATGAGCCGCAGCTACAATGATGAGCTGCAGTATCTGGACAAGCTCGACAAGAACAGCTGGAGGATCAAGAAGGGCTTCGTGCCCAACATGAATGTGAGCTCGGGGCGGGGTGTCCTGGGCTCGCGCTCGGCAGTGGCCGACCGTTCAGCGCGCGCTCCCGCACGCGGAGCCCGAGGTGGGGGTTGGGCTGCCCCGAGACTCCCTCCCCGCCCTTCGCCCTGGGGCTGCTGGCGCCCCCGCGCCGGGAGGAGGAGCCCGCGGCGGTGCGTGGCCTGTTGCTGTCCGCGAGACCTTCGCGCGCCAGGCTCCTGCCCGGGGAGCTGCGGCCTGAGCCTGGGACCAGACCCAGGGGCAGGACCGGGCGGGGCCCAAGGAGAGAAGCGGATCAGCGCCCCCGGGCAGGTGCTTTTGCGTCGGCTCAGGTCAAAGCGGGATCCGGGCGATGCCTTTGCCCAGCGGCTCTCGGGGAGGCTCCTTTGAAAATGTAACAAGTGGCTGGCGGTGGGGGTCTCTTGGAGGCAGGCACCACTCTTCCCCCGACCCCAGAGAGCTCTGGTGCAGCTGGGATTTATTTATTTATTTACTTTTTTTATTTTTTTATTTTTGCATCCTAACGATTTCCTTAGAGCATGAATCTGGCAATGTTCAAATAAACTTCAGAGAAAACATCCTGGCGTGCAGGGCATAATGCTCCAAGGTATAATTGTGTCTAATTCCAGAAGTACAAGTTAGGAGCCTAAGGTACACCCAGGCACCACCTGGGCCACATATACACCACCTCTGTTCTCCCTAACATCTGTCTGATTTTAGGCCTTAATACTACAGGTGCTAATGCATGTCAGTAGTTTTGTGCCTAAGGCTATGTCTATACTACAGTCTATGGTTGCATAGGAGGACTTGTGGCACCTTAGAGACTAACCAATTTATTTGAGCATGAGCTTTCGTGAGCTACAGCTCACTTCATCGGATGCATACCGTGGAAACTGCAGCAGACATTATATACGCACAGAGATCATGAAACAATACCTCCTCCCACCCCACTGTCCTGCTGGTAATAGCTTATCTAAAGTGATCATCAAGTTGGGCCATTTCCAGCACAAATCCAGGTTTTCTCACCCTCCACGCCCCCCACACAAACTCACTCTCCTGCTGGTAATAGCTCATCCAAAGTGACCACTCTCCCTACAATGTGCATGGTAATTAAGGTGGGCCATGTCCAGCACAAATCCAGGCTCTCTCACCCCCCCCCCCTTTTTTTTCCCAGGGACACACACAAACTCACTATTGCCAGCAGGAGAGTGAATTTGTGTGTGTGTGTGTGTCCCCAGGGGAAAAGGGGGGGGGTGAGAGAGCCTGGATTTGTGCTGGACATGGCCCACCTTGATTACCATGCACATTGTAGGGAGAGTGGTCACTTTGGATGAGCTATTACCAGCAGGAGAGTGAGTTTGTGTGTGTATGGGGGTGAGGGGGTGAGAGAACCTGGAGTTGTGCAGGAAATGGCCCACCTTGATTATCATGCACATTGTGAAGAGAGTTGTCACTTTGGATGGGCTATTACCAGCAGGAGAGTGAGTTTGTGTGTGTGTGGGGGGGGGGGGGGGTGGAGGGTGAGAAAACCTGGATTTGTGCTGGAAATGGCCCAACTTGATGATCACTTTAGATAAGCTATTACCAGCAGGACAGTGGGGTGGGAGGAGGTATTGTTTCATGATCTCTGTGCGTATATAATGTCTGCTGCAGTTTCCACGGTATGCATCCGATGAAGTGAGCTGCAGCTCACGAAAGCTCATGCTCAAATAAATTGGTTAGTCTCTAAGGTGCCACAAGTACTCCTTTTCTTTTTGCGAATACAGACTAACACAGCTGCTACTCTGAAACCTATGGTTGCATAATTTATGTTGCTCAGGGTTGTGAAAAAAACACCCCCCGAACAACATAAGTTACACCAAGTTATACTCGTGTTATACTCGTGTGCACAGTGCTATGTCAACAGGAGAGTTTCTCCTGCTGACGTAGCTTCTGCCACTTATGCAGGTGGTTTTATTATAGGCATAGAGCATCTTCATGAGACATGCTGCAGTGGCACAGTTGTATTGGTACAGCTGCGCTGCTGCAGCACTGTACGTATAGACGTGGCCTAAGTGTTTGCAGGATTGAGCGTTTGGATTGTAAACTTCTTGGCTCAAGGCTTGTCTTTTGGAATATCTTAGCATGTCTTAAGCACTACCAGAAACCTAATCAAATAATATACTTCTAAATAAACAGTGGCAAGAAAATGACCAAAAAAAATACACTTTGTAACCTATTATATACCATTAATCTTGGCAATTCTTGTTCTATAGTGTAGTTCTTCTTGTGGAAGTGAGTTTTTGTGAGACCAGTAATGATGCATTATTTTGTCTCTTCTCCTTCTTGTGTTTGCCTCTAGGTGGAAGGAGTGTTTTATGTAAATGAGCCGCTAGAGAAATTAATGTTTGAGGAGTTACGAAATGCCTGCAGAGGTGGCGGTAAGTACAGGAAGATCCCATTCTCATTTGTTTTCATTAAATTTCAAACACTTGCTTCCCTTATTTCACTTTCACCCTTACCTCCTAAAAAAGCCTCCTACCCTGAATTAATGTGGCTTGCATACATCAAAGAAAACAATGAAAATGTGTAGTGAAGGCTACTCATATGTCCAGCCATGACATTATGCACTACCTGTGTGCTTAACAACACCGCTATCCTGAAAATAGCGCTGCTGAAATATGTTGGCTTGCCAGTCCTGGTGACTTAAGGGACTTAAGCAAGTTTAAAAAATAATTAATAAATTCCTGTGTTGATAAGAACTTTAAATAATTGAAAATTAAAAGGATTTTAAAATATACTGCACTTTTCATAATTACATCCTTTTAGTTATTTTCTGCATTTCACTCAGATTGGGCTATGAAAATAGACTTGTCAGTTAATTTCTAGTTCTCATGTGACAGCACAATGCAGGAAGGAAATCTTAAATACATAATACAGAGGAAGCTAAAACAACAAACATGGGGATATTTCTGTTTGATCTTAGGTTTTGTAACATCTTTATATATAAATACAAACTAAATTGACTTGGCACTGTCCTCTGAAGGCTTCTACCTTCGTGATATTGGTACAGCATGGACATCAAGAGTGCAAGCTTCCTGACAGTGCCTCAGCCTTGACCTGGAAGACGGCAGGGACCACAAAGTGGGAAGAAAAGGGAGTTCATTCTCCATACCCCAGTCAGTCCTTGGTTTATCTTTTGATATTTACCAACAAGAGTGCCAGCTGTAGAGGTGGTTTGTGTTATGTCAACACCTCTGTGCTCTGCACTGATGCCACAAGATTAATTTCACTGTAGCATGATCTATTGAAGGTTTTCAGAAATTAGCCCACCTTTTTTAATCTAGTATTTGTGGGAGCTCTGTTGTAGACCAAGAGCCAGCATTTTGACCTTCTTATACAGGTCTAGATTATATGGCGGTAAAAATGTAGACAGGTGGCCTATACCGGCACTTCGATGCTAGCAACAGTCGGAGCTGCACTAATACTGGAGCCACAGTGGGAGAATTTCAGAAACTCTTCAGTATAATGGGGCTATAGCTCCCCAAAGTGCCAGGTATTTTCCACCAGATTGAAATGACTTTTGGTCACTACTGATCTGCTTGGATTTTGAGTAGCAACTTGAAAGGTGCTACCATATCAGTCATGATCAACGCTGTTCATTGGCAAGTCCCTTGGATAAACTTTCAGTTGTCTTCTTTCAGGTGCTGGTGGATTCTTGCCTGCCATGAAACAGATTGGGAATGTGGCTGCACTACCTGGTATTATTCATGTGAGTGACTGCTCTGAAGAATTGTTCTTTTTCTTCCCCTAGGACCTCACCAATCATCCATGAGTTCTTGAAAATCACAAATAGTTCTGAGATTGCTTCTGCTAGTTCCTTTAGTACGCTAGGGTGAATTTTGTCAGGCCCAACCAACTTGAATACATCTAAATTATCTAAATATCCTTTGACGTGTTCTTTCCTTGTTCTGGCTTGTGTCCCCCTCCCCCTTGTTGATATTGTGTTACGCATCTGGTCACAATTTTTTTTTTTGGTAAAGACAGAAGCATTAAAATGCCTCCGCCTTCTTGGTGTCATCCGTTATTAGTTCTTCCTTCCCACTAAATAGCGGACCTACACTTTTCTTTGTCTTTATTTTGCTTCTAATACATTTAAGAAACTTCTATACGTGATAGGGTGTGTCACTTTTCAGGAAGCTGAGAGTAAAGTGTTTTTGTAGGGGGCGAGTTACTTCTCATTTTTCTTAACTGTCAATAAGCAACATGGTGGTTTCATTTTCAGTTGTTTTACATGGTGACTAAGCAAAAGCTCTAATTCATTTTTTTCAATAAAGTGCTGCCCTTGGGGCTATAAAAGGTCTAAAAGGTGATCTGTAAAGGAGAAGAATCGGGGATGTGGGTTGTTTTGTTTTTGTCTGTTTTGCAAACTGTTCTTTAAAATTGCTTTTCAGCTTGTCTTACCACAGAAATGTCACAAATATCTATTCTAGTCTTCTGTCTATGTTAGAGGGCTTCCTGGTTGCAAATCGAGCTTTCTTAGGACGGGAAAAGGTTGAATTCTTAATAAACGGCTTTTCTTCCCAATGTTTGTGTTTTAAATAAGTGTTCAAAACAGTTTTAAACAGTCTGATTAAAAATCACAACCCTTATCAATTAATCAGGGTTCATTTTCTTGAAAGCTGTGAAGTCATTACTAATTCTGCATAAAGTCTTCTGGGACAGACAAGATCTGAATTTCTAGTGTTGTTGGGGAGGAGAAAGGGCAGGCCTCTTCTAGCCATCGTAAAATAAAGTATCTGCAAAAGGGCCTCTTTGTGTTGCAGGTCATACTAACAAAAACTAGCTTAAACATCTACCTCTTGGGTCATTTTTGTTTGTTTCATCCGTTGGGATGAAGCACTTACTTTGTGTGCAGTTATATAATTCAATATTGGAAAATGCTGTCTGTTTTCTGCTTGCCTCTTACTTAATGGTTTTTTTTTTTTCTTTCCTTTGTTTTGCAATCTGCTGGCATTTTGGGTGACTTTCTGCATGCTTGAACTTCCTTGCCTTTTATTGTGGGCTTGTCATTATTAAATCCAGTTTAATTGAATGAGGCAGATGTGCTATATCTGAGGCAGATGAGTCCTAATGATAAACTGCTTATCAGTTTAGATACCACAATTCAATTCAAAAGTTGTTTCCTGTGTCAGTGTGGAATGTGGGAACTCTGAATCCAGGTAGCTGACTGGTGTGTTGATCTGTAAACTGCCCCAGATACTGTTACTGGTTACTAGTCTTGACGTAAGGTTTACATTGTGCCTGTCTATACGTGGAACAGGGTTGTATATAATTTAAAAGAAGTCTTTCCACTGCCCATTTGAAATCTGATGAACTTTCTTGCAGAGATCTATTGGGCTTCCTGATGTACATTCTGGCTATGGGTTTGCCATTGGTAACATGGCAGCATTTGACATGAGTGACCCAGAGGCAGTGGTGTCACCAGGTAAGAGTAACTTGAGTCTGATGTAATATACTTTGAGAAATATCTTTGGTGATTGGAAATTCTTTCTTGAAATAGCTGTTTGAGATCCCCACTCTTTTACAGTACAGAAGTAAAGTGAAATGTTTTTTATAGTGACCTGAAAAGTTTTTCTCTGTTGAGGTACCAGTTCATCCATCCTGAGTTCTGTTTTTTCTGCAGGAGTTGATTACAACCTAAACAGTGCAGGGAGCCTTGCTCTCTTCACGCTGTTTTGGGTGTCTGTTCCCAACTTCTGAAGAGAGAGCCCAGAACCCCTGAACTTGGTTTTGGGCAGGTAAAAGAGAAACTAATTTTTAACTTTAGTTTTAAAATGTTTGTCCATTTATGTTAAGGATTTATGATCTAAATAGTTTTGCCTCATTTTTTAAGAACTTTTGAGTTCACTTTTATTAACCATTTGGAAATGCCTCTGTGCTGGCATCTAACAGCTATTATTCTAAACTGCGTGTATGGGACACAGGAATTGCCATAATGGACCAGATCCCCAGGTCCATCTAGTTCAGTATCTTGCTCTGGCACGGGTCAGCACCAGATGTTTCAGAGGAAGGCTTAAGAACATGGTAGTAGACAGATTTAGGATAATCTGCCCTCCAATTAGGTCTCATCCTGGTCTCTAATAGTTAGATACCTGCTCTAAAACAAGGTTAGTATGCTTTCCAAAAAAATTATCATAAATTATATCTCTCTGGATATTCTTGACATCTATATAAACAACCAATCCATTTCTGAATCTTAAATTCTTGGCCTCAACTGCTCTTGTGGGTAGCAAGTTCCAAAGTTGTTTTCTCACCCAATGTGTGAATTTCCTTTTATCAGTTTTGGATTCCCCAACTTTTAATTCCATTGAGTGTCCACTTTCTCTTCCGCTATGAGACCAGGAGAAGAGAAGTTCCCAATCTACCTTTTTTAGGCCAGTCATTATTTCTCCTTATTTATCTCCTTTCTAGGTAAATAATCCCATCACTCTTGTGAGTTTCTCCACGTCATTGATAATTCTCATCACTCTTCTCTAATCGCCCTTTAATACTGAAATAAAGTATCACTTAACATAAACAATCTTGGGTCACAGTTTACTGCCAAATGTGACAGCAGGGAGAGCTTGCTGTTTGCCTTCCAGAGGAGAACACTTTTTGCACTAATTTAAAAGCCAGCTACCTTAAATACAAAGATTTTGTTTTCAAATAACTTAAATTAGAAATGGAAAAGGCTGTGTTTGGGAGGGTAGAAAATCAGTGTATTTTAATTGTAATGTGTATGTTGGGTAGTTTGGATAGGTATTTCTATATTAATCACAGGAGCAATCTTGCAGGTTAAGGACTTTGTGGGAGACTGTGCTTTTCTATCCATGATCTAGTACAGTGTCCAGAGCAGGGGAATAGCCCTGTAGCACTGAGTGAAGGTGTTGTGAATATGGAATACTTTTCATTACAGTGGTGCCAAATTTTACCCTATTTGGGGGGTTGCATTGTCAGCTTGCCAGGGGCCTAGAGACTGCATGGAAATTCACTAAAATGGAGCAGATTGCAGCTGTCTTCTCATTTAATATGGTAGTAGGACTGATGAAGACTGCAGGCCCTAGTATACAAAACTTTCTCTGTCAGGAAGCACTTCAGCATTAAAGATAAACGTGCCCAAATGCTACAGCATAGCATTCTGTGGCCCACAACTGAGCAGCCCCATCTATTAACTTTGTGTGTGTTTTTGTTTTTTATACCTTCAGGTGGTGTCGGGTTTGACATCAACTGTGGTGTCCGATTGCTGCGTACGAACCTGGATGAAAGTGACGTCCAGCCCGTGAAGGAACAGCTCGCCCAGGCCATGTTTGACCATATTCCAGTTGGGGTGGGCTCCAAGGGTGTCATCCCCATGAATGCCAAGTAAGTAAATGACTGTGTGTGCACTTTTGGGGCATGGGCAGTGTCTGGCCTTTGTTTTGAGAAGGGATTTGCAGGTGGAAGGCTGGAAGGAGGTGGAAAGAAACTTCCTGGCCCATTCCTTGCCCCTACACATACAGCTAGAAATAATAGTACAAAGCCATCTAGGAGTCAGAGGATTAATTAAGTGTGCTTTAAGGGTTATCAGCTCTCATAATGGAGGGTTTCTTTAATTGTATAGATAGTGATGCTAAAATGTCAGCCCTTACCCTGATAGGGGGGAGGAGAAGCAATGAAGTTGCAAGTGGCTTTATTCACAAACTTTATCTTTGTGGAACAGGCTTTTTGGTTGGCAGCAAAGGGTTGAGTTGAACTCATGGGCTTTTCACCACTTCAGACATGGGTGTGAACCCTTGGGACACATGTGAGGTTAACTTTGTGCTAGTACTTATTTAAGAGTTCGAGGAAAGTGTCTTGATGTTGCAGGGACTTGGAGGAGGCCCTGGAGATGGGTGTGGACTGGTCTCTCCGGGAAGGCTATGCCTGGGCGGAGGACAAGGAGCACTGTGAGGAGTATGGAAGGATGCTGCAGGCTGATCCCAATAAGGTCTCCTCAAGAGCTAAGAAAAGAGGTTTGCCTCAGGTAAATGTTACCTGTAAGGTGGTTGTAAACACTTTGAGGTTTAAAACAACAACAAGAAAAAATTAGCTTCATTTCTATAACTCATGCCCTGTGTTCATATAGGTTTTGACTTGTCATGATTTGGGAGGGGTTATGATTTTGAATCCATTTTCTGACAGAGCTAGAATAGGGGAAAACAAATAACAGTTAGAACTGTGATTTAATTCTTACGTAGGTATAAAATTGGCTATAGAAAAAAATCCCAGTGAGTTGCCCTCCCATCTGTTGCTAAACAGCTGGCCCTAACTGTTTGAATTCGTCACTACTAGCACTTGTCAACCATTTAGGAATGGTAACTTCTCTAGATTTTTTTTTTGTTCTGGTTACATTGACTTAAATTGTCTGAGCCAACAATGTATTTATTAAAAAAACCTTTGAAGAACATGTCCTGTGACTTAATTGTAAAATTCTGGCCTGCCATGCAAGAGAACTGGATTTAACTTCCGCTGCTGATAGCTCATTGCCTGGGTTGGTGTGCTGGCTAGAGCAGAGATCATACCATTACTATAATTTAAAGGCTTCTTCCTCCAGCTCTCGTGGGTATTATTAATGAGAATATATTGCAATTCCATAGCATTTTAACCTTTAAAGAATTTTGAAAACATTAACCTTCATATCTCTCCTGTGGAGCAGGTAATTATCTGTTTCTCACAGTTAAGTGAATTTCCCAAATGTACAGAGTTGGTGTCAAAACCATAATTAGAAGCTGGGCGATTCTGGCTCCTAGTCCTATGCTCAGACCACATCTCCATCATCGATGGCCGACTTCTTCAGGAATGAGGCTTTAAAAAAACCCACCTGTTTGTTTTTACAAACTTTTTTGGTCATATCTACTACCACTTATGTCAGCAAAATGTATGTTGCTCAGGGGTATGAAAAAAACAGCCCATACCGGCATAAGTGGTAGTGTGTACAGCACTATGTTGGTGTTAAAGGTTTTGCTGCCGACATAGCTACCGCCACTTGTTGGGGGTGGTTTAATTACGTTGATGGGAGAGCTCTCTCCCGTTGGCATAGCGCAGTTACATGAGAGATCTTACAGCGGCACAGCTGCATTGGTACAGCTGTGCCGCTGTAAACTCTCTAGTGTAGACATTGCCTCAGCCCTATTACTAAGCCCATGTAAAGGCTACTTCTCTTTACTATCTGTGTTTTAGAATCTATTCCTTCCTTTTAAGTATGCCTCTGTGTGTTTGCTGAAAGTGGCTGCACTACTGGCAGGTCCTGGTCCTTCTATTGAATCATATTCTCCTGCTACAACTATTTATTTTTGGACCATTTTTTTAAAAAAATATGTATTTTGATACAAGTTTCAAGGGAGACAAACAAGATTATATCTGCACAGTCCTTTTGATAGCCGGGATTCAGGAATAGACTTCCACGTTCTAACCAATTCATACCTTCTAACCACATTCTATTACAATTCACCATATTGCACATAAACTCTTCATTCATAATACCTCCAAAGGAAAAAGCCTTTCCTCTTTTTGACTGGTGTCTAATCACTAGATGGCTAAGATATCTTGTTGTAATTGGCAGCTGGGGACCCTGGGAGCAGGAAACCATTATGCTGAGATCCAGGTGGTGGATGACATTTATAATGAGTATGCTGCCAGGAAGATGGGCATTGATCACAAGGGACAGGTGTGTGTAATGATCCACAGCGGCAGCAGAGGCCTGGGCCATCAAGTAGCTACAGGTATATTTTGTGATAAGACTACTTTTTCAAGAGCTGAAGTAAGATAAAAATCTCTTTGGAATAGTCTGCTGCTCACAATAAACCCTATTAACCAGTCAAGTTTATTAGCATATATTCAGTACTTATATTGTGCTTTAAAAACAATGAGTTAATCCTTAAACAGCCCTTATGAGATAGGTAATTCTCTACATTTGAGATTGTGGGGGAATGGGACAGATATCTAGATTGTGAGCCCTCTAGGGCAGAAGCTGTCTGTATTTGCTTAGTATGAGACTCTAATCCTTGGTTGGGATCCATAGGCACTATTGCAATAGAAATAAGAGGAAAAGGAGAGAGGTGGTAACTTTCCAAAGGTCACAGAAAAAGTCAGTGTTAGAGCTGTGGTTAGAACATCAGAGTTCCTGCACTGAGTGCTGTGCTCAGACCTCTAAACCATACTCCTAGGACTTTAACTGTACCTATTGGGTAGTTAAAACTTAAAACACATGCTCTAAGGAGCATGTCTTTTCTCCAGGCACCTAGTTCCATCACTTTCACTCTGAAGGTGGTACTGGGGGACCCTGTGTAGCAACAACTGAAGTAGTCATTCCACACGTTCACTTCTAATTTTAAGAGGAAGTTGAAGGTTCAACCACCTTCTGGTACCTTTGTGAGGGGAGCTGGGTTTTCTGCCTGTGAATCCAGATCTGAAGCCTTTCAAGGTAGAGGTGACAGGCTGGTTGTATTTGTTTTTCCCCAGATGCTTTAGTGGCTATGGAGAAAGCCATGAAACGGGACAAGATCATAGTTAATGATCGCCAGTTGGCATGCGCCAGAATTGCCTCCCCAGAGGGACAGGACTACCTAAAGGGAATGGCAGCGGCTGGGAACTATGCATGGGTCAACCGCTCTTCCATGACTTTCCTAACCAGACAGGTAGGAGCAGAACTGCTGTTCTGCTACAAGTATTCTGGTGCTTTTAAAGGTCTCTGGAACAAGATAAAACATGTTGAGCCATGATGGTGAGCAGCTCCATGAAGCTTGTACTTTTCTGCTGCCTGTCCTATATCGACTTGTTGGTTTAAGAGAAGACTTCAGTCTCCAGGGCAATCAGTCCAATACCTTTTAGCAGCAGAAAAGTCTCACTGGGTTACATCTGGGCTACATCTAAAAGATGTAGAATAACATGTCTTAACATTTCTTCTTCTGCTAGGTTGAGAGGGTAAAATTTTCAGGAGTGCCAGTGCTCCATTTTCAAAAGCTAAATGCTGAGGTATCTTTTGTTACCCTCAAACTGGCAGAAGAGGAAATACTAAGGCATGTTTCACAGCTTTTTGACTGATTTCTGGTGTTCTAAGTCTTCCTGATTGATTTCTAATACATTCAGAAGGATCCAAGCTGCCAGCGAACAGATAATCGGTCCAATTTGGTTGTAGAGTAAATTTTTTGCACAACTCGATTGACTTCAATGAAGTTGCATTCACTTATGTCAGGGCTACATTTGGCTCAGTGTTTTGAGAACCAGGGAGGCTGAACTGAAAGTTTTGCCTTACCTGTCACTTCATTTAGTTGCAGTGTTTTGTTTTCTGATACAGTTTCCCACAACAGGCCATTTTTCAAATGAGTCTGCTGCTTTTTAACCCCTAAAAATCAGAGAAAGCTTTAAGGTTTCTATAGCTGTGTGGAATTGCCCCTGTGTTTACATCCAAACTTTCTCCCTTAGGCCTTTGCTAAAGTCTTCAACACAACCCCTGATGACCTAGATCTTCATGTGATCTATGATGTGTCTCATAATATCGCCAAAGTGGAGCAGCATGTGGTGGATGGAAAAGAGCGGACCCTGCTGGTGCACAGAAAGGGATCGACCAGGGCTTTCCCTCCTCATCATCCTCTCATTGCTGTCGATTACCAAGTACGGATAACTTCAGGGGGAAGTGGAGGCAGGGGAGGGGATTTCAGATGAATAGGAAGGGTTTCTGTGTTACTAACAGAGGAAGACTTTAAATGTTGTTTCAGTTCACACAGGGTAGCAAATTAATTATATTGGAACATTTACCAGTGTCCGTCATTATCCTCAGGCTTGTATTGAAACTTTTGGACACTTCCGGATTCACCTTTCTTCCCCAGCCTACAATTGCCTGCGTGATCTTCTAGCTATCTGCCCTCTGTCCACTCCTTGGGTTGGGCAGACTATGGCTTGGGGGCCGCATCCAGCCCTTCAGATGTTTTAATCCAGTCCTTGAGCTGCCACTCCAGCCAGGGAGCGGGGTCAGGGGTTTGCCCTGCTCTGCACATGCCGTGGTCCCCACAGCTCCCGGAAGCAGCGGCATATGCCCCCTCTGGCTACCACGCATAGAGGGCAGTTAGGGGGCTCCACATGCTGCTTCTGTACCAAGTGCAGCCCCCACAGCTCCCATTGGGTGGTAACCGCGGCCAATGGGAGCTGCAGGGGCTGCGCCTGCAGATGGGGCAGCACACAGAGTCGCCTGGCTGGGCCTCCGTGTAGGATTTGGAGGGGGGAGCTGCTGCTGCTTCCAGGAGCTGCTTAAGGTAAGTGCTGCCTGGAGCCTGCACCCTGACACCTTCCCGCCCTGATCCGCGTTCCGCCCTCCAAATACCTCAGTCCCAGCCTGGAGCACCCTTCTGTACCCTCACCTCCCCCCCCCCACACCCCAACCTCCCGTCCCAGCTCTGAGCCCCCTCCTACACCCTGATCTCCTCCATTCTGGCCCCACCCAAGAGCCTGCTCTCCAAGCCAGAGCCCTCACTCCCTCCCACACCCTAACCCCCAATTTCATGGCCCGCCATAAAATTTCCATACCCAGATGTGGCCCTCAGTCCAAAAAGTTTTCCCACCCATGCCTTAGGACAAACTGTGTCTATTTGCCTGGCCTCTTCATGATGAACATCTTTATACACTGCCTGCATTTTCCTGTCATCTAGTGACTCAGAACTCCTGGGTACACAGCCAGAGGCTTGCCAGAACTCCTTTATGGATATGTGATGGTGCCCTGGTCCCCCTTATTATTTATTGATCAAAACTATTTTAAATCTTGAGTGAATTTGATCTTAAATTGGGATTATTTTTGTTTGCACCCCTAGCTGACTGGACAGCCAGTACTGATTGGCGGAACAATGGGAACCTGCAGCTATGTTCTTACTGGTACCGAACAAGGCATGACCGAGACCTTTGGAACCACGTGCCATGGAGCTGTAAGTACAAAACACCATTAAAGAACGGGTTGTGATGGGATATCCAAGAAACAGCTGCTCAAGGGGCAGCCAGTGTGCTGTTACACTTGTGAGTAGGGGAGATAAGATTCCCAGATCTCCAGCCTAGGGAGTGCTGCGGACGGTATGCCTCGTGCACTCTTGATGCCTCTTTCTCTGGCTAACACTAAACTTTGGCTCTGGAGGGAGCTGTGCATGGCCTTCCTTGCTTACAGGAAGGATTGGTGTGGTGGACAGAGCTCCCCCCCACCAAACACTAACCGCCCGAACTACGAACGGGAATGAAAGTCTTGAGGATGCCCATGCAAAGCACTTCCCTTGGTAGAAGGAGGTGGTGCTTGGGCTTCTTTACCAGTGGAAATAAATAGTTGCAGCTTCCTTGCCCAGTTAAAGCCCAGATTGGGAATACTGACTACCTAGCAGTTTGGGTGAAAAGAGAAACCTACAGGGATCCTAGATACCTTCATGCTGTGGATTGTTGTACATGTAGTGATCCCTAACATTAGTGCTCTAGGATGTGCTATTGATTATGCAGGAACCCCAGCACACCAATGCATTTTAGTTCTGCCTCCTGTTTCTCAGCTCACCTGAGGCACGTGATCTGTGCATCAAACTGCACGTTTTGCTACTTGGAATTTGTGTACAACACACACCTCCTACTAAATATTAATGTATGCTGACTTGTTAAAAGTCGCTTGCTCTGTAAAGCACCAGAGATACCCAGAAAGTCTTCCTTTTGGGTATTCTGTCCCATCAAGTCTCTGGTTAGTTTAAATGTAGAATATGTGCATGATCACTTCTGCAAATGCTGTCTTGCCTGGAATGAAACACCTAGATGTGTGATTTTATTTATTTATTTATTTATTTATTTCCCCCCACTGTCTGTCGGTCTTAGTAATGCAACTCTTACTCCTCTTGGTGATTACAAAACAAAGTGAAATAATCTAAATCTATTGCTTAGGGTCGTGCATTGTCCCGAGCCAAATCTCGACGAAATTTGGACTTCCAGGATGTGTTGGACAAGCTGGCTGACATGGGGATCGCCATCCGTGTTGCTTCCCCCAAGCTAGTCATGGAAGAAGTAAGTTTTAAATTTGTGACTGGGCGTGTACTCTGATAGATTTGTCCACTGGGGCATTAGAGGAGCAGCTCATGCATTCCTGATGGAAGCTGTCAAATTCTCCAAGTGTCACACTGAATATTTCCCCATGCTGTAGGAAGGGAATCTCCTCCTGGAAGTCTGGTTTTCTGGGGATAGGAATAATTTCTTTCCATTGTGCAAAGAGACTTGATATTGGTGCCATATAAGCCTTTTGGCCATATTCCTCGGGTTTCCACCCTTCTGTGATGTGCTTGCCAATTCTAACTACATCTTGCACTTCAGCTTCTAGAATTGGCAATATGCAGATATTGTTTTGCTTTTAGGATACCTAGAACTCTTGTATTTGCTTAGGCCAGGAGGAAGGACGTTCTTCGTGGTTTTTTGTCCATGAACAATCTGCTTCTCAAAAATGGTTCACAGCTGTTGGTGTTTTTTGGTACCTCAAAGTTTTATTAAGGAAGGAGCATTTAATGTGTGTTGTTTTTAATGGGCTAGGTGCTGTAACAACACATTCTCTGACATGAAGAGCCTGCATTCAAAACCAGCCCAATCTAGTCCTTTGCCCAAATGATGGCATCAGAGAAAACTCCATGGAGGTTTACTCTGATGATTCCAGGCACTAATAGGGCTGTGAAAGTTAACCTTTATAGGCTGCCTCTTTCTGGGAGGAAGTTGGAGTGGCTTGTTCCATGGTGCAGGCACCCGGTGTTCTCTCTCCTGGTGCTGAGTCCCGTGTAGTGGCAAGTTCAGTTCCTGAATATCTTCAAAATAGCTTGATTTCCCCACCCCACACCGAATAAGACAGAAACTTGCTATGTCCTTCAAGTGGTTCACTAATCTTTTAGCTGTGTAAAAATAACTAGTTCCTCCAATGAGTAAGTTCCCCTATTTTAACAGAATTGAAGGGTAAAGCAAGAGGCATGTGTCTAATTTTGTGTCTCATTTTTTTCAGGCACCAGAATCCTATAAGAATGTGACAGATGTGGTTAACACCTGCCATGCTGCTGGCATCAGCAAGAAAGCTATTAAATTGAGACCTATCGCTGTTATTAAAGGCTAGGATGTAACTGAGACCATCCGAAACCACTGGCAAAGCAATGCCTTCCACAGAACTGACTAAAATCGTCATTGTCATCTTTCACACCTCTTGACTGCAGAGTGCTCAGAAAGTACACTCCCTATTTTGGAAATATGACTGGTCGAGGATGCTCTTGTTATTACCCAGAGTCTCAAAAGTAACATTTTTGTGGTACGGTGCCCTTTAGCATGCAGAAGGGGTAAACAAACCGATGCTGTTGCCTTTATGTATAATGATCCCACAAAAATGCATGAAATTCCATTAGCAGAACTGCAGACCTGGCTCAACCAGACTGTCGCTAATAAGCCTGCAGATTGCAGTACGCCCTTCATCAGCCAGTTTAATATATAACTCTTGCCTAACTCAGTGTGCACCCAAGTGACTGGAGCCCCTGATGCCAGCTGAAGTCCTCTGGCAGGTCACATACAGAACTCCTGGCAGTGGGAAGATGCTCTGTTTGCATACACTAGTCTATATTGTGTAGACATATGGTAGTGGTAGTTATGTAAAAAATGATGAGTAGGGAGTGGTCTTAACCCTAACAAAAAGCATGAAAGAGACTAGCCAGGGTTCAGACACAGCCCACATAATCAAAACATGGTCCTGGGGTGTACTGACTCCTTTGATATTGACAGTTGTTCCACAAGGGCTGATGGGAATTCTAGTGCCATTGGGTATGTTGTTCGAAAGGTCAAATGTTACCTTGCACATCGTATGACTTAACAACTGATAGATGTGCTTAGCATAAAACTTGAAAGGTCTGCAACTGTAATTGGATCTGCTGGTGCAGCTCTCTCCAATGGGTTTCTGTGTGGATGACTTAGTGGTTTGAGATGCAGGATCATGACTGAAGATAAGTATGATTTGAGACTGACAGATTAGCCCTTTATTTTTGTTTTACATTTAGTAGTTGGGAGGCAAATCACCAAAGTTGGTGAATTTCTGGGAACTTGGAACTTCTAAATAAAAACAGGAAAACACAAAATCACTGCAGTGTGTGTTGTGTCCTCATTGTGTTGCTGAAACAGCTGATTATTAAAAAGAAAAAAGTGCTTATACTGTGGTCTAGAAGTTACCAAGGTTTCAGATTATAGCCAAGATGGTGTGTCTGCATTTGGTCTATGAATTGTACAAATGTTTGCATTTAATAGTGCTGTTTGTTCCAAGAAATGCTAATATAGCAAATAAGTGCTTAACTTTAATGGAATTGTTGAACATTACACTTTTCTCAGAACCAGCTCTCCCTCCCCCCTTGTCCCCCCTCCCGCTTTTTTCCTGGGTGAAACTTGCTTGTAAATGTAAATGCAGACACTAGATGGCACTTGCATTAAAATAAAACCCTGAAGTTAGTGCATAAGTGCACAAATGCCTATAATAGGGGTTCAGAAACTAACTATCAGTAGAGGCTCCAACTTGGGCTTGTCTGATTATGTACTCATGAAAATGTTAATTCAAAGCAAGTGCCTCGCATGAAGCCTGTTGATGTCGGAATATGGAATGTGATTCAAATTAATAACCTAACATTAAGTTTTATTAGAATTTTAAGAGTTAGAACTTTATTTTTACAGGTAAAGAATCAGTCTGTGCTAGGAGACACTGGTATTACCACTTGTCACGCCTTATTTTGATGTCACTTCCTCCATTGTCTCCAGTGGAATCACTCCCCAGTTCTCACCTACATAAGATCAAAATCAAGCTCACTGAATTTCAATGCATGTTTTGCAGGCAGAATTAGACCCAAAGAGTCAGGAGCCACAACTTAAGTTGTGCTGCTCCCCATCCCCTGCTGTGGTGTGAGCTCCATGCAGCATACTTTGCACATGGCTGACGTAAATGTAATTTTTTTTCATTGCCATATTTCAAGGGACCTCTTAAAATATTTGTGCATGTTTCATTATTTGTGAAACCATCATGGTTTGAATATACATTTTTTTTCCTAACTTCCATTTTCCTGTGTTGCAAATTAAATTGAAATTAATGGTAGCTTTTGTTTAACCATCACCGTACATTCAAACAGGCAGAACTTTTATATACAAAAGATACATTCTGTTTTTATGAGATTCTACTTGACCTTTTCCTTACAGTTAATTTTTGTGCATGAGGATTAATGGAACCTAGATCTGACGATTTTGTTAGCAGGTGCTGCCGTACCAGTACCAATGTGTTGGGAATTTTTGGTAAACTGTACAGAACTGTCTTTGTTAGTTTCTTGGCCAGGGAGGAGTAGAGTGTAAAAGAACTCGGATTTCTCCAGATACTACTATTGGCCAAAACAGTTTTAAAATAGGACAAATTTAGAGTTTAAAACTTTTGACTCTGCCCTGAACTACATTATGAACTAATATGATATAATTACATCCCTTGGGGTGTGGAAAATCCATACCCCTGAGTGATGCATTTATGTCAGCCAAACTCCCAGTGTAGACAGCACTATGTTGACAGGAGGGATTCTCCCACTGACATAACTACCACCTCTTAGGGAAGTGGAGTACCTATGCTGATGGGAGAAGCTCTTCCATCAGTGTAGGTAGTGTCTTCACTTAAAGCATAACAGCTTCTGCAGGATTATAGGTGTATAGAAGCTCTGTTGTCTTCAACTCTGGATGTAAACATGTATTTATTAAATGTGGTAAAAGTCCTCACCCCAAGGAGCAGAACATACATTAGAAAACAAGTTAGTTGGGCTAAATCAAATGAAGAGAGTAGGTGACGAAGGCAGGTAGCACACACATTGTGTCCCTGTAGGGGCTGCTGGAATACAGGAGAGTTAGAGAGCTCTGTGATGAGCATGAAAGATGTTTCCCACACCTCACCCAGAAAAGATGGACAGAGCCTTAGTACATTTACAGTCAAAAAGTGAATAGCTGACAGTATTTTCTTTAGGCTTTATTTATTTATTTATTTATTTTTTTGCAGAAACCACTGGTGGGCGGGGGATTACACCCCATAAGTGGAGCTATTGGACTCTCAATCTGTCCAGTGGCAGGCACAATTACTTTCCCTGCCCAACTGTATTCACTTTATCTTCTAATGATGTCTTGTGAAGTCCCCTGGCAGAGCTGGCCAATGGAGAACTTATATAGTATGTGTCTGCATTATGTCTAGTTGGAGCCAGTGCACGAAAACTGGTGCTTAGATACAAAGACTTCCACCTTCAGTGAGAGTGAAACCCCCAGGAGTGAAGCTATACAAGAATGATTTAAGGTATGAATATTTAAATTCTCTAAGAGGTAGAATGGAGGGATACTTCTGGTTTTAGTGGTATGTGAAGGATCATCTCTGTTAGTAATTTCTCATAATATAAAACTCCACCACCACTAACGGGTATTGCTGTAGCACCCTGTGCTACTAAGCCTACAGAAGGAATGAAATAACACTTCCTGGCAAGAACAGCCGTATCTGATCATAGTGCACTCAATAGGCAGGTGCTGTTTCTAACAAAATTAACCACTGTAGAATTAAATCACTTAAAGAAAAAGCCCAGTGCAGTTTGTTACTCCCTTAGCTGACTCCTGCAAAATAATCACCTTCTAAGAGTAGGCACAATAAACACACGGGATGCAGAGATCATAGCAATGCAGGGCTAAAGGGACCTGAAGAGATCAACTAGTGCAACCCCCCATGCTGAGACAAGACCAAGTAAACCTAGACCATCCCTGACAGGTGTTTGTCCAATTTGCTCTTAAAAACCTTGAAGGATGGGGATTCCACAACCTCCCTTGGAAACCTATTCCACTACTTAATTATCCTTATTGTTAGAAAGCTTTTCCTAATATCTAACCTAAACCTCCTTTGCTGCATATTAAGCATATAGTTCCTGTCCGACTGTCAATGGACATGGAGAACAATTAATCCCCAGGCTCTTTATAATAACCTGAAACACATTTGAAGACAGTTAATCAGGTTCCTCCCTCTGTTGTTGTTTCTCAAGACTAAACATGCACAGTTTTCCTCAAAGGTCAGGTTTTCTAAACCTTTTATTTGTGTTGCTGCCTCTGTTCAGCTGAGGTCTTACCAGTGCCAACTAGAGCAAGACAATTATCTCCCAAATCTTACATGTAACATTCCTGTTACACCCTTGAATATTAGCCTTGTTTGCAATTGCAATTTGATTTTTTTTCCTTCCTAAGTGTAGTACTTTGCACTTGTCTTTAATTTCATCTGGCTGATTTCAAATCAGTTATCCAATTTGTGCAGGTTGTTTTGAACATTCATTCTGTCCTCCAAAATGTTTACAACTACTCCCGGCTTGGTGTCCTCTGTAAATTGTATAAGCATACTCCGTTCCATTAATAAAAAATATTGAACAGTACTGGAGCCAGGCCAGACCCCTGTGGCACCCCATTATATGAGTCCTTCCTGTTTGATAGTGTCCCATTGATCACTACTCTTTTTGAATATGGTTTTTCAAGTAGTTGTGCACCCCCTTTATAATTTAATTTAGACCACATTTCCCTACTTTGCTAGGGAATGTAATTTGCCTCCAAATGTTATTAAATATGATGGCCACCTGAACATTTAGATTTCAAGGCATGGGGATCTGGGAGGGAGGGTGTTTGGATTTTGAGGACAAAGGAGAAAGGTTATCCGCTTTTATAGTGCCAAAAAAAAAAAAGTGTGCTATGGATCTGCCATAAATTGCTGATCATTAACACTGCTGCAGTACGCCAATAGGTGCACTATTCCTTAGCCCTGGTCAACACTACACATTTATGTCGGTATAACTGTCGCTAATCCACACCCCTGAGCGATGCAGTTATAGCAACCAGTTCTCAGACAGCACTCATGTTGATGGGAGGGCTTCTCCCCTCAACATAGTACGGCCTCTCGGGGAGGTGGATTACCTATGCTGCTGGGAGAAGCTATCCCACTGGCGTAGGTGGTGTCTTCCCTAAGTACTACAGTGGCACAGCTGCACTGCTCGAACGCTGTAAGTGTAGACAAGTCATTGGTCTCCTCTTCCTTTTTCCCCTTGAGTTTATTTAAGCTGTGTGTTTATACTATGCTTATCAGCTGACTGAAGCACGCTTTTGTTCTCTTATATCCCCTCTCTCTCTGTTTTCAGGGTGCTCCTATCCTAGCATGCGCTGCTGCCTCCTCCGCTGGTGGTCCCACGGCTGTATCTCTGGCCCAGGAGGAATGTGTGATCTCTGACACATCTCTGGCACAGGCAGCCAGGCCTCTCCTCCGCACTCCTTTGTTCCTCTCAAACATAAACACACTTAACCAGCCTCTCCCCTCACCCCAATCTTCAAAGCAATCCGACAAAGCAATATCCCTCCTGGAGCATGTGCCAACACGCGCTCTTGCTTTCAGAAGGAAGAGTTCAATTACTCAGAGGGCCCTGCCTGCAATTGGCATTTGCTTTTGCCTCTCCAGCCATGTCTCAGCTTGCTCTTTTCTCGCCACTGCTCCCATGCAGCTCTGCCAGGACAGACAACAGTGGGAGTTCTAAGGTAGGTAAGGCACAGGTGCCTCACCCCGAAGCAGACTGCAGTGATGCTGCTAAAAATGCCTGCATTAGGTATAACATTAGCGTTTCCATCACCCTGACTGCAGCAGTAGTGGGAACAACAGTACTGCTAACCCCATGCATTCGAAAATCATGAATCGGGCTCCAAAAAATCATGAGACTTGTTTTAAATGGTAAGTTTTGAGTGTTTTTTTTATTTTTGTTTAGGATGCTCTTTGATCGCATTTTCCCAACTTTTCTCCACAGAAACATCTTTTTTTTTAAAAAAAAGGGGAAAGCTGAACTTGTCTCCTGATCACATGCCTCCTGGTGCTGGGCCTTTCAGAAAACCACCACACGTTGCAAGACTTGTAATAAAAGCATGAGAGTTAGCAATCCTGGAAAAGTGCTGAGAATTCCCAGTATGGATACACCTCTGTTTTCCTGCTATATTGTCAAAATAATCTCCGGTCCTCCTTTCTCAGTGCTGTCATTAGTAACCTGGAAAGTATCTGGGAACTAGCACCTGCCCCTTT